AGAACTCACGCTGGGCGCGTGTGCGTGCGTGCCCAAGATCCTGAGAGAAGAATGGAGGAGAAGGGATTGCGGTGTGACCATCCCCCCTGGGGGGTGATTTCTCGCTTTCTGTCTCTCTGTCTCTGTCTGGCGAGCGCACGCACCCTATAGCAAAAACCTTTCCAAAAAAAAAAAAAAAGGAAAAATACTAAAAATTGTACAGCAGTCAACTTTGTTTTTCTTGTTGGATTGCTAGCATTTAGCACGTTGGCTGTAGGACCCGTGTTTTATTTGGCTAGGGTAGTGACTGTCATGTTAACTTCTCAAAAAATGTTTAATAAATTGAATGAGTGATTGTGAACTCTTTTCACTAAGATGAAAACAAAGGAGAAATGAGGGATCTATAGTGATACGCGCCCTATAGTAAAAACCTCTCCCCTCCAAAGAAGTCATAAAATTCTATTTCCCCTGTACAGTCTCATGTAATTAACCTCGCTCTTCTGTTGAATTTGCAGTAAGTGTGGTCCAGTCTTTCCATTTAAATTCTGGAAGTTAATGTTCAGCGTTGTTATTGATCTTTCCAGACTTGTCCTTATTATTAAGGTGGCCATTTTCTTGGTTGTTTTTTGTTCTCTTCTAGTTTTCCTGGTATAGCACTCTCTTCAGAACTTCTTGAAGAGCTGGCCTGGTGTTAGTAAATTCTTTCAGGTTTTGTTTATCTGAGAATGTTATCTTTTCTTCCCATATGAAGGATAATCTTGCTGAGTATAATATTCTTGGTTGAAATTGTTTTCCACTTAACATTTTGAATTCATTTTCCTGTTCTTTCCTTGCTTGCATTGTTTCTGATGAGAGGGGTGCACTGTTAGCCTGAGGGTATAATCTTTCTATGTAACTTGATATTTCTCTCTTGCCAATTTTAGTATCTTATCTTTGTGGTATTGGTCAATCTGGCTATGATGTGCCTTGGAGAAGATCTGGGTTGATTCTATTTGGGATCTTTTGTATTTCTTGGGTCTAGATATTTGAATGTCTCTCTAGATTTGGAAAGTTTTCTTCTAAGAGTTCATAGAATAGATTATCAGTTCCCTTATTTGTTTCTTCACCTTCTGGGATACTGATTATCCTGATGTTTGGGTGTTTAATAGTATCTAGTATTTCCCATAAATTATTCTCAATTTTTTTTATTTTCAGAGTTTTGATTTTTTTTTCAAGGTCAGAGAGCTTTTATCTTCTACATCTGAGATTCAGCCTTCTGCATGATCTAATCTACTTTTAGTACTTTCAAGGGAGGTTTTGATTTCCTGTATTACAGCCTTCATCTCTAATAGTTCTGTTTGATTCTTTTTTTATGGTGTGTATCTCTTAATTCAAATCATGGAAGAACTTCCTCACCACCTGTAACTCATTGTTTCTTCTCGCTTGCATCTGCTGGAATTTTTTTATCTCTCTTCTCTTGCATCTCTGTTAGTTTAGTCATTATGAATATTCTGAAATCTTTATCTGACATACCCACAAGTTCCTTTGAACTGTCTATGAATGATATCTTCCCTTGGGGGAGAGATATCTTCTTGGTTTCTCATTTCTTGTGCCTCTGCGGTGGCTCTGGTTATATGATGGATTATAAATTTCTTGCTATTTTCTTGGAGTTAAATCTGAGCATTCAGATCTGTGTAGGAGGAGGTGATTAGCAATCTCTCTGCAGTTCTGAACCATGACACTCACCAAGCAACCTGCACTTTTGTTGTCATAACTGGATATTACAAAGACCTGGTTTCTAGAGAACAGGTGCACTTGGGTTGAGCTGTGGAGTTCCATCCGATAGTGGAGAGCCTTGTGGGAGATGAGCTGTGCTCTCTCTACAGCTCTGTCCTCCCTGCTGCTCAATCTGCAGTCTCTCTTCTCTGATTTTTAGTCATTTGGTGGTGTACTCACATTTAATTTGTTGGATAAGTACTCGGGTGTGATGTCTCACTGCAATGCCCCTTGCAGTGATTATTTTTCAAGGGTTAGGTAAAGAAGTAAAGAAGTTGTTCTTGGAAGTAAGACCAGCAGGTGGCTTGATGGTTATGATTCTGTACTCCCACATAGTTGACCACAGTTCAAGTCCCACACCCAGCGGCTTAAAACTCATGCAGGGCACATGTGCATGCATGCCCAAAATCCTGAAAGGAAAATGGAGGAGATGGGATTGTGGCATGGCCATCCCCCCTGGGGGGTGATTTCTCGCTTTCTGTCTCTGTCTGTCTCTATCTCTCCAGCGAGTGCACATGCCCTATAGCAAAAAAAAAAAAAAAAAAAAAAGAAACCAATAAAAAGTTACTTTTTGGAGTAATTTTATTATGAAGAAGTCAAGCACAGTTTTATGATTTATGATTGTGTAAAAAGACCTTGAGTTGTTATAAATATATATATGTATATATTTAAACAGAGAATTTAGGTGTATTGTTCAGTAAGCTTGTGTCTGCTGCTTGTATGTAGTGAATCATAAGTTTAGTATTTGTGTTTCATTCTAATTTGAAAATTATCTGTGCATATTAATGAGGGCTTTGGTTGTGACCACTGAAATGGTTAAATGAATCTTTTGAGTAAGAGGATTTATAGCTTGGGAAATTAAACTTTAATAGTGAACCTATACCTTTATTTGACACTAGATTGTTCAAAAGGACCATGCATTTGAGCCCAAAAAGTTTAGATAGTAATAGTCGTGAGTCCAAAAATGGTGCAGACAATAAGTAAGAAAGATTGTTAGAAGAATCACTTTGGGTCTTGGTGTTCAAGGAAGATTTAATGGAAGCTAACCTTGAAGGATGAATAAAGTCAAGTCAGTATCCAAGGCAAAGGTGTTTCCTTTGCTTTGATTGGAAAAGCTAAAGAGAGGCAAAAGGAAAAGAACAGGAGCAAAGACATAGCTGCAATATAGCTGGTAAAATTAGAAAGGTAGAGATTAGGTTAGATTGGTTGGACCTTAAACATAAAGCTAAGAAATAAAGGAAATTAGATACTCAGGGGTTTTTGAATAGAGGAATGTTGGTGGTAAAAATGTCTTTTTGAGACTATTACATGTGGTGGCAGCATGCAGAATGGCTGAAACGGAGAGTGTTGATGAGATAAAGTCCAATTTCCCAGCTAAATTACTATTTTGTTAACATTACATATAAAGTGTGTAGTAATGGGTGAAATTATAGCTTGAAAAGGAATGTGGTGGTCAGCAAATAAAATCTATATTGTGGATTTCCGTAACAGGCATAGATACCTTAAGATCTCACATTTCCCACCCTGCATGTCTGTCAGGTATAACAGTAGACACCTGATAGAAACTGTAGGCCTAGTCTTGTGCTTCTGTTTTTTTGTTTTGGTTCTGGTTTTTTTGAATGAGGAAAGGCAAGTTTTCTGGTTGCTGACCTTGGTCCTGAATAATAGCTAAAATACCGTTTGTCCTACAAGTGGTTTGGAGTAGTTGGTGCTGCCCTCTGATGGGCTGATGAGCAACCAGTTTTAATTAATACAGTACCTGGGAACTGCAACATAGTCTTCCTCACATCTGTTAAGGGTTAAGAGCATGGAATATGGAGGGGCTGGCCCTCCGTTGTCTAATGGCTAGGGGAGCTGGATCCCACATGATCAACTCAGATTTGAATCCCAGCCCTGACAACTTGAAAACTGTGCCAGGTGCATGTGCAGACTGTGCCCTAACTCCTGACAGGATGGGGAAATGAAGAAGAGATTGTGGTATTACTATGCCCTACTGAGGCAGTGCTGCTTCCCTCTTTCTATCTCTTTTTCTCTGTTGAGTATATATGTCCTTTAGCAATTAAAAACAGAAAAGAAGTATGGATTATGGGACCAAATTACCTTGACTATAAATTTCATCATGGTCACTTTTTTGCATAAATTACTTAACCTTCTTCTTCCTTAGAGTCCTCCTCTGTAAAACTGTACATATCTCAAGGAGGAGTCGTGAGAATTAAACGACTCAATCCATGAAGTGGTTAGAACAGTAATTGACACATGGACAGTACTCTATAAAGTTAATCACTGTTGGCCCAGCTGTTGAAGTGCATGCTAATAGTTGGTGCTTTTCAGTAGGCCAAGGCCCCTTGGAATGCCTTGGTTCTATTCTGGCCCACCCTAAATAGCTGGGCATGGTGGAATGTGTTTGTGGCCCCTAGCTACTTGGGAGCCTTAGGTACAAGGATTGCAAGCTTGGGATTAGCATGGGCAACATAGTGAGACCCAATGTGGTGGCATGTGCCTGTAGTTATAGCTGCTAAGATGATTGTGATATCATGAGACCCTGTCTCAAAAAATAAAAAACTTAATCATGTTTATTTGCCAGATATATTTGTACGGTCCCTGCAGAGGCAATTGACGAACAGGATAACTGGTTTTGTTATGTATCATGTTATATGTTATAACCAATTCCCTGCTATTGCATACTACTCTGTCAGCCTGTGTATTCATATTATTGGTGACAAATTTTTATCTTACAAGAAACTTTAATAACAGAAAAATAAGTATAGTTTAATTGCCATGTGGAGGACTAATTCCTAGAAAGACTGTCTTAGACAAATGGATCTCTAAAACTTTAGACTTACAGTTCACATTACATTGTTTGTAGAACGGAAAACATATGTATTAAGTGCGTGTGCGTTTCTAAATATTTTAATGCTTTTATCCTTTTTTTCAGTATTAAAGTGTGAAATAAATCCATGTTGTTTTTCAAGATTATTTAATAAAGGAGTTATAATTATCACCCAGCACCTAGGACAGCACCCAATGCCTCACAGTATACATAAACTCTGGTTTGAGTTGTGGGGTTTGTGTTCTGGATTTGGGAAAGAAAAGAAGAAAACACTTTTGGGGAAAGTTTAAAGTACTAATAGACCCTTACTCTAAAAATACATGAAATGCAGACTGATTTCATGGCCTTATTTCAGAATGTTTTACACTGGCTGTAGAACCCACTTCATGAAGTAGTCTGAGTTAAAATGATCTAATATTTGTGTTTTAACTTTCAGCTTTGTGTTATTCTTGGAAAATTTCGCACCACTTGTGAATTCCTTGAACCTGGGCATTGCAAACCCACTTCTGTTGGGCCCATCTCCTTTGCACTTTGCTCAGATTAAGACTCAGTTGGCGCTTCAGCAGCTGAATGCCGTTACCTCACATGGTTCTACAACACCTTACACCTTATTAAATCAGGCTTTCTTGAAAATAGCCATGTCGGGACCCAGGTTTAATCCTCGAGAAAACTTTCCACTTCAAAGGCCACATGCACCTCACCCTTCTGGGATGAGGCCTCCAGGACCATTTATGAGGCCTGGATCTATGGATCTTCCAAGATTTTACCCAGCAGGGAGAGCAAGTGGAATTCCACACAGGTTTGCTGGCCACGAATCTTATCAGAGCATGGGACCACAGAGAATGAACGTTGAGGTTACACAGCACCGAACTGATCCAAGACTGACCAAAGAAAAATTGAATTTTCATGAAGCACAACAAAAGAAGGGGAAGCCTCATGGTAGCCGGTGGGATGGAGAGCCTCATATATCTGCATCGGTGGGAGTGAAACAGAGTTCTGTAACACGGGTTACAGAGCAGAGCCCTAAGGTACAGAGCCGCTATACAAAAGAGAGTGCCTCAAGTATCTTAGCAAGTTTTGGATTATCTAATGAAGACCTAGAAGAACTTAGTCGCTATCCTGATGAACAGCTAACTCCTGAAAATATGCCATTAATTTTGAGGGATATAAGAATGCGAAAAATGGGGCGCCGATTACCTAACTTACATTCTCAGAACAGAAATAAAGAAACACTTGGTAGTGAAGGAGTTTCAAGTAATGTGATTGATTATGGGCATGCAAGCAAATATGGCTACACAGAAGATCCGCTTGAACTAGGTATATATGATCCTGAAATGCCAACCGATGAGGTCAAGAATGAATTTCAGTCACAACAGGGCATTTCTGCACCTGTTCCCACTCCAAATGTGCTATGTAATTCTATGTTTCCTGTTGAAGAGGTATTTCGCCAGGTGGACTTCCCCCGTGAATCCTCTAATAATCAGTCCTTTTTCCCAGCTGAGAGTGGAACCAAGATTTCAAGCTTACACATTTCAGGAGGACAGCCAGTCCTTGAACCCGTAAAATCTGTCGGCCAACCTATTAGCCAAACAGTTAGCCAGAGGATGAGTCAGTCTTTGATTCCTCCATCTATGAACCAGCGTTTTTCATCTGAATTAATTTCAGTTGTAAGCCAACAAGAGCGAGTACCGCATGAACCTGTGATTCATTCACCTAATGTACATGTTGGATCAAGGGGAAGTAAAAAGAATTACCAGCCAGAATCTGACATTCCCATTCAGTCTCCCTTTGGAGTTGTGAAAGCATCATGGCTACCAAAGTTTTCACATGCCGATGCCCAGAAGATGAAGAGACTTCCAACTCCTTCTATGATGAATGATTATTACGCAGCATCTCCAAGAATATTTCCACATTTGTGTTCTCTGTGTAACGTAGAATGTAGTCATTTGAAGGTGAGTGTTTTTAAAGATCACTGTATAATGATGCTCAGCGCCCAAGTTTTCTCTAAATTCTGACATGTATGCTGTTAACTAGGCATTAAGGAAATGGCAGAAATTAATTTTGATAGCAACCTCAATGCTTAGTTGTAATCTTAAATAGCCCTGGCCTTAGTAATGAATTGAATGTCTGTCTGTGTTCCTGTGACTGGGCATGCCACTTAATTTGTCCATTTATTTTGAACTTTCAATTAGTTATTTCACATCTGCAGCATAAAATTTATATAACATAAACTGTGTATTTATAATGTCACGTGAGACATTTATATCTAACTAAGAGGATCTGTTAGTGTGAAAATGTAAATATAGGTAAAACCCATTCATACTGTACACTTCTAAGAGACAGTGTATCATAGACCTCCATATACCTGCCTGTTGTGAGCCGAAGATAATATGTTAATTTAAATTTTTTTTCTTTATTTGGAGTAGTGATTTTTAGAATTTCTGGAGAAAGACCATATTAAAATAACTTTAGAGCAAAAATGAGTCAAGATGTAGCAGTTATTTTGGGACCAGCTGTGGGCCTAGAAAATAGAGTAAAATGATAAAAATTTGGAGAGAAAAACTCATTTAAAAATAAAAATGCTGTAGATACTCTCATGGTTAGTATAGTTAGAAGAAAATATTTTGCATAGGTTCTGGAGAATAATGTAAATATAGAATATACTATCTGATGATAATCATTGGTAGATTTGAGCAAGAATTTCTAAGAAAATTTTACTTATATGTGTTAGGAAACCACTGTTCTATTTTGTAATGTGATTTATAGATTTAGGTTGTAAGTGGTCGGGAGGGACTGTACTTTCCATTGGAAGCATAGGTTAAAGGCTATAGCCTTGTGGTCACATACTTTGAATAGGCTTAAAAATCTATGAGTATTACTTTCTTTGCTTTTTTCTTTTTCTAGTGCTGTCCTTTTAATGCGTATTACCAACTTATCAGGTTTAGTTAATATTAAAGAATCTGATACCTAGATCTGATGCTATTGTCTGATGGTTAACTCCAGCAGAAGAAAGCAATTTCGTCTACCCTACTCTAGCCATATTGCTTACATTTAAAATTTTATTAAGAGATGCCTTATCCCATCAAAAAGGATAGCAAAATCTTTATCTTGAGGAAATATATCAGAATAATTCACAGTGTTTAGTTGTAATCTGTAATTATTTAGCTCTGGCCTAAGGACTGCATTTCAGCGTTAGGCTCTGGTATTCTGTGACTGGCTACACCATGTAATTTTTCTATTTATTTTGAAATTTTATTTATGATGAATCCAAGAAAATGATTTTATAGTGAAAACTTGAGATTCTAATTTTTATTCTGTAAAAAGTTTTTTTTAGATGTTCTTGAGCACTTCATACTGGTTCATTGAAAAGAAAAATTCTACACCCAAACAATTTAAAAAGTCCGAGGGCAACAAGATATTCATTCAGCTTGTTTGGGTATGCTGTAGAGGAGACATATTTAATGTTTCCGTCTTCATTTTAGATTTGTATCAGTCAGGCTAGCAATATCAGTTTATCAACACTTATTGTGTATCTAGCAGTACATGAATTAAGGAAGTATAAATATGATACTTGGCATTAGAACATTTTTATAGTCTAGTTAAATAAGACGAATGGAGTGACACTGCATGTACTTCATTCTGTCTGGGCTAGAGTATTCTGGGAGGGAAGACTTCAGGCAGCAGGCTGTAGATAGATCTTGAATAGATCTTGGCTTTACATATCCCTAGCTAAAGGGGAGGAGCAATAACGTTCCAGATGGAAGTAATGACATAGAAGGCCAAGCAAGGACTTCTGAGAATACCATATTGCAATTTGTAGTAGGAGCTGATTGGAAGAGTGATGAGTGTGCTAGAAATAAGTATGAAAGAACTAAGAAATTTAGACTCGAGGTGAGAAGAACTAAGAAGCTAATTAATGTTATAGCTTGATATGTAAAGTGAAATGTTGAAAGTATATTTTAGGGAGATCTGACTTAAGTATGCAAGTAAACAAGAATAAGAAAAGATGAGGTAAGGCACTTAATTTGTATGCTTCCCTAGTTGTTCCAAGTGTAAGATAGTTAAAGCTTGGGTTAACATGATAAAATTAAAAATTTGAGAGGGAGAGGAAATTGTTTACCCGTCCTTAAAGCTCACAGAGATTGCCATTAAAAATCAAACACATACTTTATTTAATAGACAGCACAAGAGAAAGGGGCTCATCTAATGAATTCTTCACTACTGAGTGGCCAAAGATTAAACTATCTCTCTTGTTTCTGTGATATACTTTACTGTCTTGCAAGTGTAAATATGTTGTGTCATTGGAAAAGTCATGATGTATTTTTTTTGTTTTTCTATGCAAAAAGTGTGCATGACTTTTCTGACTATCCATATATGGTATTACAAGCCAGTAGAGGTAAATTACCAAATACAGAATTTCTCATGGTAAGTAAATCTGACAATATTTATGCCAGATTTACTTAAAAACCTCTGAGTCTTTTAAGATTGTAGCTTGACACTTTGAAAATGCAACAGTGGAATGTGAAATGTATTTCCTTTCTAAATTGGGATTCAGATATTAGAGAAGGCATTTTCCTTAGTTTAGAAGCTGTGTGTTTCTGACTTGAAGCAATTCAGTTTGAAAGTACTGATCAACATAAATTTTTGACATAGTTGGAGGATAGATAATTATTATAGTTTCCTTCAGAGCCTGCTTAAGCCTGCCTTGTGGTATCTCTTGCTTAGTGGATAATTATCACTTCTTTCTCTAAAGATGTATTGCTGCTTTTACACTGTTATTTCATCTGGATACTATTACTAAAAAGTGTAGAAATGGGGGCGGCATAAGTGTATTTCCTGAGCAGTGCTATAGAGTGGAACAAGACTATTAGAAACCAGTAGAGAAAGTGTGTTGAACTAGAGAGTATGCCTTAAATAAATAGGGAAGCTATCATCTTCAACTGGTAGTTGCTATAAGAATGCATATCCAGTATTATATCTTCATACTTTTTTTTTTTTTTTTCCGAAAAACTGGGAATCTGGACCCTGGGGGGAATAAAATATCTGGGGAGTTTTAAATGTTGACAATTCACTCAAATGAAACATACTACAGTCCAAATAAATCATGCCTACTACAGTCCAAATAAATCATGCCTAACCTTCACTGCCTACCAGTGTGCCTATTTGATGTAAACAATGTCTAGTTAATATCAAAGATACTGTTTTGCTATAACTAGAGACTTAACTACCTATCTCTCTGGCTTTCTATTTGTATCACTTTGAAAGCTATGCAAACATTTCTTTGGGCAGTCCACAATCAGTTCCATGGTATAATGATATAGTTTAGGATTTGTCATAATTAGTTACTGAGTATTGCAAGTAGCAGTGACTTTTAAGATAGTTCTTACCAAGACAGAATTCAAAATTGGTGTCAGCTGTGGTTTTAACTATGGATCCTTCTAGTTCATCTTTAGCAGTGACCTAAACTTCAATGTTTTTGAAATGGAAACATTTTCCTCAAAGATAGTTTTAAAATACAACACTACTTAGTTTTAAAATACAACACTACTTAATAAGTTCCCTGTCTTTACAAATGCTGAGGAACAATAAAACACTGAGTAATATAAATGTTGCTTTTAACTAATTGTTTCGCTTTGGGGACTGTGACTTTATAAACTGTTGACTTTTTTTTTTTTTTTAAATCACTTATCTCTTTCAAAAGCTATTTATGGGTACAAATTGTAATTTAAGTGCAGATTTATTTGCAAATGAAGTATTTAGGACAGCATTTTGTTCATTGTAAAGCTCTGTACATAAGGGACATTGTATCTTTGAAATGGTGTTACTTTGCCTTAAATCTTGAGAATAAATTAATTTTGATCAGCAGCAGTTTTTCATATATTTATTTATGTTATCATTTGCTGATATAGTGAGTACCTTGTTTGGAATGGTAGCCTATGCAGTAGTTGTTGTTTTTTGTTGTTGTTAGTGATGTCATTAGCTTGAATTTTAGAGGTTTAAGTCATTGAAATATTATATTTTTAAGATGTTTCACAGATGCGATTTTACTTTTAGAATTTTTGGTGTTCTATCAAGTGTTTCTAAATTTGAGATAAGTCATTTTCTGATTTATGCTTTTATTTCCTCCAAGTTAAAATATGTATGTTCTTTTCAAAATGAGTATCCATGTTTATAATTTTTAAAATGTTTTCTATGCTAAGATATTTTAAAATGGGATAAAAAGGTATGATATTGCATATATTTGGTTGGAGGCCTTCAACTTTTGTTTGTGAAAATTTTATTAAATATTCAAATCCTATTATAACTAGATTTAATTTTCAAAAGAAAAACTAATTGCTGTCATTTTTTTTAAAAAAAGTCTGATTCATTAGTCAACATAGGACTATTCTAATTTTAGTACTTTTCTCCTTTTACAATAGGATTGGATTCAGCATCAAAATACATCTACTCATATTGAGAACTGTCGACAGTTACGTCAACAGTAAGAACTTTTTTTAAATAATGATGAGATTTGACTGTTAATTATCTTTACTGTGATACCTTATATAAAACTATTTTTAGAAAGATGTTGTCTATTTAAAATACTAATTTAATAGTATTAAATTGTATCCTTTCCTCTGACACTTTTCTAACATAATTCCCAGGAGGTAGACTTTTGTTTTTGAGAGGGTCTCACTGTGTCATGATCCTCCTGCACCACCTTCCTGAGTAGTTGAGACCATAGGCATGCACCACCATCACTGGTTCTTTCAGACAGAGTCTCACTATGTTGCCCTACCCAGTCTTGAGCTCGTAGTCCCTCGTGCTACAGGCACATGCCACTGCACCCAGCCCTTAGGTTGGACCAGAAATTGAACCTGGGCCTGCCATGTGGTTCCAGATTGGAGAGCGCAGTATCTTAGCACTATATGCTACTGTAACTGAACCATTTTTTTTTGATAACATTTGTTCCTTCTTTGTTAACTGTCCTAAGAGAAGGCAAGCCTTCTGAGGAGATAACCCTTTTCTTCTATCTCCCCACCTTTATCTAAAGGATAAATAACCGAAAAGCAACCCAAACCAAAAAGCAGTTAATTTCACACCCTCCTCTGGCTTAGAACCTGTTTTCAAAGTAGATTTTAGTAAGGGATGAACAAACTTGGCATCTTAGTTCCTCAACATTGGTTTTTCAGTTCTTCTACCTTTTTCTTCTCTAAAACAGGGAACCTGTGCAGGTTTCTTCTACTAGCCTAGCTATAGAGATAAAAAGTGTGATTTTAACAGTAGTCTCCTATATCCCAAATTAAATTGTGTTACTCCTAGCATCATTAAATAGTTCCTAATTACTGGATTGATAGTAACATGTTCGGTTTTAGAAACAATTGAATTGGACGTTCAAATTAAAATTACAGTGTCAGAAATATTTCCATTTCTTGACTGTTCTCTCCTATTTTGGGCTCATGAGATCTCAGGCATATTTTGTCCATGTAACAAAATGACCCACATAGTTTTGGACTTATAGTTTTCAGGGGTCTGCATAGCTTTGCTTATCAACAATTTGTTTATTCCCTTTATGAAAGAGAGAAGGGAGAGAAAGGGAAAAAAAGGAAGAGAGACAGAGAGAGGTATTTTTGACATGGTCTCTATGTCCTCCTGATCATCCTGTTCCAGCCTCTGAATTAGGTAGGATTATAGGCATACGTAGCCACCTTTGGTAAATTCAGGTTGGCCAAGGAACCAAACTAGAACATCTCAAGCGACTTCTAGTCTCCCAAGTAGTGGCATTATCTGTATGTCACTGCAGATGGGCCAGGAGTTTGCTTTCTTCCTTTAAGGTATTTCTTTCTCCATAATTCCTGCAGAAGTCCTTGGTTTGACTCTTGGTTTACTTTAGGTTAGTTGTCCATTTCTAAACCAATTACAGTGACTATGAGAATAGAGTACTCTACCCTGATTGGTGTCATGTACCTACTGTTGGTGTGGAGAGTGAACTAAGCCCTACATTATATAGAATAAGTATAACTTATAACTAAGCCCTGAATTATATAGAATGGAAGTAGAATCGAAATTGGGGTTGTTTCCTTATATAGTTGCTATGCAGACAAACATGGGTTATCATCTCCTGAATTAAATATTGCCTTTCCTGTCACTATAAATGGAGAATCTCTCCTAAGCCACTTTCTTACAGGTTCCCAATGGGATGTCTAATTTTTATGAAAGTGTGGGGTTTAGTTAGGAGTGAGTTCTTTGCTGTAGGTAGTTATTCATGTTAATAAGAGGATTCTAGCTATGTATTGCCTTTAATTTATTATAGGAAAAAGCATGTGTATGGTCATTAAAGGCTTCTGTATAGATCAGTTTGTTATTTTTGTTATGCACATAAGGTCATGATTTAAAAGGTCATGATTTTAAAGCATGTGTTTTCCATGTCTACATTTTTAATGCTCTATCGTCCAAAAAAAAAAAAACCTTATTTAGTGTATTAGAGACCTCCAGAGAGATAGAACCAATAAAATCACACACACACTTCTCAGCTTAAGTGATTTAACTTATAATTTTTCTACTTTATTACCATGGTGTGAAAGTAGTGCACAATCAGTAGAAACTGTACTTCAAATGTTGAATTTTGATCTTTTCCTGAGCTAGCAATAGATGCAGTAAAATACTCTCTTGTGATGGTGGGCCACAGCACAGAGCCACAGATCCCAATCAGCTATGTGCTTATGAGGGTAAAGAGCCAATACTCCATCCACAGTACTGCATTGACAGTATTTTTTCAGATATAGTTTTTTTTGTGGTTTTGTGTTTCATTATATCTATAAAATACCCATTCATGACTTAAAATATCTTTAACTTAGAGTGGTTTATCTGGACGTAACTCTGTTTTAAGTCGAGCATCTTTATGACTGAGAAGTCCCATGATAAGCCATCTGCAAACTGATGACCCAAGGATATCAGTAGCATGGCTTCTAAGCCATTGGTATAATTCATGGTCTCAGGCCTGAAAACCCCAGCAGACTGCTGGTGCAAGTCCCAGAACCAAATTCAAATTTTCCCACTTAAGTATAAAATATCATTTATAATTAACCCTCCCTACTCCTCTGTCCCCAATCCAGGATTCAATCAAGAGTCGTGCCTTGTCGTTTCCTTTAGTCTTTTATATAGTAGCTTGTGTTTCAGAAGCACAGTACTCCTGACATGGGTAGTGTGAAATAATGTTTAAGAGCAAGGATCTAGATAACTTACCTTGTCTGTGTCCCAGTGTGATACAGTAAATACACACATCATCTATGAAGTATCCTTGGCAAAAATGTTCAACCTGAATTTATTGATGAGAAAATAAAGTGAAGTTTTGATTAGTTGGGCAGTATATGAGATGGTCCAAACTCTACTAGCAGCAGAGTATAATTCATGCTTTATCTTTTTGCCTTAGACAGCAGAGATTAAAAACATGTGTTTTTAATCAACCCAGTACAAGTCTAGAACATTATTACCAAGTCTTTGACTAATAGTTCTAAAGCTCTTGTGAATGCTAGAAAGCTCTGTAAATTGAGTCATAACTTCTACCTGTTGACAACCAGCTATATTTTCATTTTTGTACATGTGAAAAAATTAAGGCTTACACATATGAGAGAGCTTTAAAAAGTTTATGGAAATTGGATTAAAATAGTTTATTTTGGTACAAGACAAAATTTGAAATTCTTGCATAATTTTTTTGTAATACACATTTCCATGAGCTTTTCCAAGACACCTTGTATTAAGTAATTGGCTTTAAGCTACATGTCCTAAAAGTGACAGCTCCTACCCTTAATTCCACAGTTTTTTTTTTTTAAATTCCACAGGTCTCGCTTTTAAATACTGTATTATAAGATTCAGAAAAATCTGAGAATTTATCTTCCTAGGTGGTACAAAGTAATAAAAGCTTTAAAAAGTGTGGAAATAGATGAAACAAAATGATTTATGTATTGAAAATTGTTGACACTATATGTTGGATTCATTGGATTAAAGTTAACTTTTTTGTCTTCTTAGTTTGTCTTCTCATAGTTAAAAGAACTCCAGGCAGGGCTGGCCCCATAGCCGAGTGGTTAATGGAGCTGGATCCCATATGCCGGACTGCAATTCCCAGCCCTGGTAGCAGGAAAAACATGTCGGGCATATGTATGTGCATGCCCCAGATTCTGACTGGATGGCAAAATGGAGAAGGGATTGGGGCAATGACCACACCACAGTGGGAAGGGGTTGTTTTCTTTCTCTCTCTAGCTCTCACTCACTCACTCTCATTCTTTGGAAAGTGTAAATGCTCTGTTAATTAAAACAAAACAAAAAAATGCTCTAGGCAACACGTCTACTTTCAGAGCATGAAGAAAGGGACAGAAGTTTTCTCAGATGTGTTGCTCTTAGGTTTCATGGGTTAGAAGCTGTCACTGGCTGCCTTCTGGAGAGTTTGGGAAAACAAGTATTTATTTATTTTTTTAGTCTTTGTATTAGAGGCTGGCAGTGGAAAAGATAGTTGAGAATGTCGTGTTGAATTAGCTTGTCACAATGTCTGAGGCAAATAGCATAATAAAAAACCTCTTTATCTTTACTAAGGTTTTGAGGTAATTTTATTTCCCTGCCAGGTGACTTGTCTGTTGCCTCCATTTCTTTACCTGGCACTCATCTTGCTGCTTAAATGATATTCTTGAGTATCATTGATATAATACATTAATCATATTTAATTTAAAACAGTAATCATGTGCAATTACCTCTTAGAGTTTAGAATCTGTAGAGGCACTAAGGCTGAAAATGTAGTCTTTCTCTTGGACTTTTATGATAATGCTGCTGCTTCTACTTTTTATTTCTTTGATTATTCCTTAAAATCTTTCTTTTTTTTCCCTTTGTCTACTTTTATGTGTTGATGTGTGTTAGATTCTCTATAAGCTCCATTCTGTGTTAGTCTTGCTTGAACTTAGGACTGTAGTTAGGGCTCCCACATGCCTGATTTCTAAATATTTCACTGCTCTTCTTTTTCTCAAATTTCGGATATTTATTTACAATTGCTCTGAAAGATTCTTGTGTTATCCTCCACCTGAGAAGTGTTCAGAATCCCCATTACCTTTTTACTTCTGTGTAGTCTTGTTACCTGATTTTAAGGTCTTAATAATTTGTCTCTATCTGAGATGACCTTTCCAGGGTTCCCCCCTTGTATTTCCTTTTCTTCATTTCAGACTAGTCCCTGGAGTAGAACACCTGTGTTTTGCCTCCAGTCCTTCATTTTTATATTGTCACTACATCTAACCTGATCTGTGTCTATTGGGAGACCTTTTTAAGGCTATAAGAAAAGCAGTCTTCTATGAATTTTTTTCTGGTTCCTTTCACTAAATGTATCTCCTCAGGGACCACGTGATAACTTAAAGGGCATCATTCATGTTGAATTCTTTAGGTTGCCACATAGAATATGGAATTCCATAAAGTGGGCAAACTGTCTTTTCTTTTAACCCCTGACTAAACTTATATCTTAATACCTCTTCCGTGCCTGTACACACAAAAATGTTTTTTTTTTGTGTATACTGCCCTTTGTTTAAATAAATTTTGAGGCCTTTCAAGTATGGGAAATATGTTTTCCTAATATACTTACTGGCTTAGTGCTTTGATTATTTATTGAATTAGACAAAATTTCCTACTTCTAAGAAAATTTTCTTATATTAATAAGACATATGTAAACTTAGGTTTCAAACTCCTCCTAATATGTTGCAGGTAAAGATTGATTGAGCCTTATAATCTTACTTTAGCTGTTCATTAATACTGTTTATTCTCAAAATAGGTATCCTGATTGGAATCCTGAGATCCTTCCCTCAAAAAGGTAAATCTTTTTAATAGTGGTGTTGTTAAACCTGATTTTTAAGAGAGTGAACAGTTACTTTTTTGAAAGTTCTTTTGAATTGAATCCTTTCACATTTTTATTTTTAAATAGTGGACAAATGGAAAAACCTCTGAATCTTTCTTTTTCCAGCTTAAATGTAATAACCTCTTAATCCTTGACTAAGCTTGTATCTTGTACCTCTTCAGTGCCTCTTAACACTTTTGTATGTGTACTGCCTTTATTTAAATTTTGAGATCTTTCAAGTATGGGAAATATGTTTTCCTTATATACTCACTAGCTTAGTACTTTGTGAACTTCCACTTTCTTTAGTCCTTTTCTGAAAATATTTGACTTTATTTTTCTATGTTTGTGGGATGTTTGATGCCTTGAGGACTGGGTGTGGTCTTACTAAGCTTTGTCTCGTCTGGGGAATCCCTACTCAGTTTATGTGTATACACACACATAAGTGTGGCAGTCAAATATTTATATGTGGTATAATACTTTAGGGAAAAATTGTTGAAAAACAATTGCTTATTTAAATGATTTCCTAAATTTGTTTTAAAATTGTGTTTTAGTATTATTATTGCTAGAGGCACATGCTCGAGACAAAGAGAGCACTCCCATGTAGGGGGTGATCATCTTGCAATCCCTTTTTTCTCCATTTCTCCAACCTGTAGGGGTTTTGGGCATACATGCACATGTGCTCAACATGTTTTTCAAGCCACCAGGGCTGGGACTCTACCTGTGGTCAGCCATGTGGAATCCACCTTCCTGTGTACAGCATTTAACCACTGCATTATGGGGCTAGCCTGATTTCTTCAATTCTTTATGAAAGTTAATATTTTCAAAACATAATTGTATGTGATATTGTTATAGGAAAAGCCCAAGAAATTGATGATGGCATTCTTCTATAAGCTAGGAAATAGGGATATAAGCAATTGGAGGGCTGATCTTCTGTTCTGATTGTTTCCTATATATCTAAAAGGCTGAATTACATCATAACAAATAAGTGTTCCTGTTTTAAGAAAATAACCTGTTATTAGAGTTTGATATTAATAGTCTGTTTTGAAGACAGTTCTTTAGTCATTGAATGTAATTTAAATTTACATTGAGTTGCTGAATCTGGCTTGTTTTTTTTTCTTCCCCACTTTGTAGAAATGAAGGCAATAGAAAAGAAAATGAAACTCCGAGAAGACGTTCTCATTCCCCTAGTCCTAGGCATTCAAGAAGATCAAACTCAAGTCATAGGTTCCATAGATCTCGAAGCCCAGTACGTTACATGTATAGACCGAGAAGTCGAAGTCCAAGAATTTGCCATCGTTTCATTTCTAGATACAGATCCAGATCCAGATCCCGTTCACCATATCGAATTAGAAATCCATTTAGAGGTAGTCCACCGTGCTATCGGTCTGTTAGCCCTGAAAGGACATCAAGGAGATCAGTGAGATCATCAGGTATGCCAGTGGCCATGAGATAATCTATTTACTTCAATATTTATTTATAAATATATTTATACTTATTTATTTCAACTGAATTTTTTTTTTAGTTCTTTTGTTTGAATTTTGGGAGATGAAATATTATATTAAATTTTAGAATTTCCTCTTGAAATCTGATCTATATCACATAGTCTATTATTTCCTCTAATAACTTTAGGAAGAAATTTGAAAGACTGTATTTGCCAGATCAGATTTAAAAATCAGTGATGTGGAAAGATTTTAGTTTGCCTTAATAATTGATTATAGACTTTCATAAATTCACTTAAGACTACTTTGAAATCACTCATAGTTTTAACCTGTGCCTTAATATTGGTTAATGACCTTTTCAGAAATAGCTCATATATACCTACATGTGTGTGTATGTGTGTGTGTGTGTGTGTGTGTGTGTGTGTGTGTGTGTTTATACCTCTACAATGGAAGAGACCATAGTTAGTATTCAGGAAGTATTTTGAACAGGTTTCTCACTGTATTCAGTATATTCTAAAAGACTAAATGAAAATATTTTTAAACTTATAAGGCAGCCGTTGTCAAAAGTGTGGTCCAGGTACCCTTTAAGGTACTCAAGGTCTTTAAAGTTTAAAAGTAATTGTGAAAGGCTAGATATTCTCTGTATTTTTAATCAAAACAATGTATCCAGCAGTTGGATGCAAAAGCAGATAAGATAATTTAGGTGTCTTCTAAGCCCAACATCCAGGTGTTTGGAAAAATATACAGTAGTACTACTCATTTCATGAACTTTTTTTCTTTTGTTAATTACAGTTATTTTTTTATTAAAATGTTGTTTATGTTAATATAGGAGCTTATTAAATGAATTAAATATTTTTAAATTATATTTTGATGTCTAATATAGTAAATAGCTATAAATTTAATGTAAATAAAAGCTGTTTTGAGTCCTGAATAACAGTGTGGGGGATCTTGAAAATCAGAAGTATGAAGACTAAGCTCACAGAATAAAGACACTTCATATAAAAGCATTTTGAGTTAATAACTAAAGACTAAGAATATTTTTGTATATATACTCCCTATTTGGTTTGATAGTGGCTATATGGAATAAATATTGTTAGTCTTTTTTAACATGATGAGATGGTTCATACTTTTAGGTTCTTGTTATCAAGTTGTATTTGTATCCTTTTTACTAGACAGAAAAAAAGCACTAGAAGATGTAGTGCAACAGTCTGGGCATGCGATAGAATTTAATAAACAGAAGCATCTTGAAGCAATTGTTGATAAAGGACACTTACCAGCCCAAAAACCTAAAACTGGTAGTGGAACAAAGCCATCAGTTAAATCTACAACCTCTGTAAAGGGCGAATCAAATTTAGGAGGACATTCTACTCATTACAAATCAAAAAATCTTGAGGGTGACACCTTACCAGAATGCAAACAAGTGCCAAATAAAGCTATTTCTCTCCAGCGTAAGGTCAGTAATTTTTAAATTTATTAATGGAAATGTGTATCCATTCATTGTTATGACAAATAGAAACAAGAGTTTTCTTGAGTTGACCCCATGGCCTAGTAGTTAAGGGAGTCATATCTCATATGACCAACTACATGGTTTGAATCTCAGCCTTGGTGGCCTGGAAAATGTCGGACATGTGTTTGTGCATGCCCCCAATCCTGATGGGCTGGAGAAATGAAGGAGAAAAACTTGCAATGTGACCTTACCCAGTTGAGGGGGACATTCTCCCTTTCTCTTTGACTCTGCTGATTGCCATATGCCTTCTGGCAAAAAGAGAAAGAGAAGAAAGTCTCAATTTTTTAATTTCATGTTTTGAGGAAGTCATTATTTACTGAAATGCTTTTATATATGGGATTTTAAAAAATGTGTTTCATGAATATAATAAAAGTGATAATTCAGAAATTTCATAGCATAAGAATGCCAGAAGATTTTGGCATTTGATTGGTCAAAGAAGAACATTTTGATAGTTTGGTAGTTTGAGCTCACCTCACAAGCAGATTGTTTTGATTTCTGCTGTCTGAGGAGATGAGTGTAATCACTAGCAGTAATAGCAAGCTGTTCATAAGCTTTGTTAGTAAGCTAGAAGTGTGAGTCAACTGAGAGTTGTTCATTTTCTATTTGTTTTATACTTTCTACAGTATGGTTCAGAAGTCAGATACTCTTTTCTACAGTGTAGAATGGTCTGTTTTCTGGTACTAACTTTTTTGTGTATTTTGACTGTAACCTGTTGGTTGCTATTCTGAGGTACAGTTTTATTGTGTATGTTTCTTAAATTACTACTAACTGATGTACTGAAACATGCTGAGACTTACCATCAGAGAAACTCCTAATAGGCCTGATTATCAAATATTTAGTGTATTGTAATATTGTTTTCAAGTATTTTGTTATGCATTGCTTTCAATGTTATAAAAATACATTAAAGACTCTAATCAACTACTGTCTCTTGTCCTAAAGAGCTTGGGGAAAGATAACTTTATGATAACCAGCCTGTTACTATAGAATTTTAAGGAGCATTGGGAAGAAATGTTGAGCTTAGGGAAAATTTTGCAGAGACTGAGTTAGTTCTTTTCATTTTGTTTTATAACTTTTGAGTGGCAACAGTGGAACTTTTTAAAAAGTTCTTACTCTATAATTAAGTATTAATTAAGTATAATTAAGTTGGCAAACTTGATATTTCAATTTAATCAAATCATATGAATCACATATAAATCTTTAAAAATGCTATACCTATATGATACCCTTTCTAATTATTAGAACACAGGAACGACTCATTTTAAAAAGTACTCTTTAAATGGCCTTGAACTATTCCATAGCTCTTGTTTATTACAAGATGCTTGTAAACAGAAAAGAGTACACTTAGGAACTCATTATCACTATTGGGTTTCAAAATATAAATCGTATTTCTTAATACTGTTTTTAGCATTTAAAATTATAAAGTTATGTAGAAATTAGTGTTAGAAAAACTCTTTAATGGACAACAATTAATGTTAGAAGAAATTATATAGGGAATTACTGTACTTCATGACTCAATTTGTTTGATTTAAAAAATTTTTTTCTACTCCAAAAACAGCTTCGGAAAGACCAGTCTCTGCATTACAGTTCAGTTCTTCTTATATCTGAATTACCAGAGGATGGCTGTACTGAAGAAGAGATTAGAAAAGTATTTCAACCATTTGGAAAAGTTAATGATGTCCTGATTGTTCCATATAGAAAAGAGGTTGGTCATTCAGTCTGTTCTAAAAATTCACACAAAGCTGTATTATTCTATAAACTGTTGGCTCTTATAGATACTGGTACCATATACAAGAGGTCTTTAGAAAGTTCGTGGAAGGGACTGGCAGGTCAGTGTGGTGGTTAAGGTGCTGAACCTCCAGATGGCCCACTGTAGTGTGAGTCCTTCATTTGGTGGCTTGCTTTCTCACTGTTCCTATTTCTTTTGTCAAATTGAAGAAAAATAATAAATAAAATTAAATAATTCTTTTTTAAAAAACGTTAATGGAAAATGCATATTCTGAAAAAAAAAATCATGTTTGGATTTCAAAATATTCTTGGATCAAAATAAAATCATACTTTAATCCTAGTTTTCCATGAAGTTTTTTTTTTTTTTTTTTAATTTTTAATTTTAAAGACAGAGAGACAGAGACACAGAAAGTGAGAAATCACCCCCGGGGGGATGGCCACGCCGCAATCCCTTCTCTTCCATTCTCCTCTTGGGATCTTGGGCACACACGCACATGCACCCAGAGTATTAAGCTACCAGGGCCGGGACTTGAACCGTGGTCGACTACGTGGGGGCCCAGTGACATAGCCATTACACCAACTGCTGGTCCCTCTCCATGAAGTTTTTGAATTTCACTCTCATTTGATTGTTTATTGAGAATTATGTAAATATTTGGATTCCAATGAACAAGGCTTCAAAATACTGTTTTATAATCTTAAAATAGGGGTTGGCACATTTCTTTTTTTTTTTTTCTTTTGGAGAGGTTTTTGCTATAGGGTGCTCACTGGAAAGACAGAGAGAGACAGAAGACAGAAAGAGAAAAAGAGAAATCACCTTGCAGGGGGGATGGCCATGCCTCAATCCTTTCTCCATTCTCCTCTCGGGATCTTGGGCATGCACGCACAGGCGCCCAACATGAGTTTAAGCCACCAGGTCCGGGACTCAAACCACGGTCGACTACATGGGAGTCCAGCGACATAGCCATTATGCTAACTGCCGGTCCCGGCACATTTCTTTTGTAAAGGGCTAGATAATATTTTAGGCTTTGGGAGCTAGCCATTAGCATTATTATAAAAAACAACCACAGATAATATTTAAATGAGGAAGCATATCTGTGCTCTAAAAAAAACCTATTTATAAAAATGTTTGTTAGGCCAGCCCATGATGTGATGGTTAAGACAGTGGGATCCTACTTGGCTGACTGTGTAGTTCAAATCCTGGACCTGGTTGGCTTGAGAAACACGCTAGGTATATGTGCGTGCATAACCAAAATCCCAAGAGGAGATGGAGGAGAAGGGATTACATCAGTATGGCTATCCCCCTAGAGGACTGCTTTCTCACTCTTCTCCTACCACCAAACAGTGAGTGCATACATCTTTTAGCAAATTTTAAAAAACAAAAATGTTTGCCAGCCATTGCTTTAGAACAAGATTATACCAAAACAAATTATTTTATTTGTATGGTAAGTATTGTTTACATGAGTTGTATTTCTATAACTCACATAATTAAGTTCAGAACTATGAACAACCATAGATTAAGCAGAACATAAACACATTCCATTGTGAGTTAAGACAATAGAATGTAACAGTAGTGTCATCTTTTTCCACAAGAAGCTTTAAAAATGTCAGGAGATAAAGCAAGCGAGGGCAGTCATAGTGGCACTGTGGTAATACAGTGCTCTTTGATGCTGAAGGTTTAGGGAAAGGTCCAGGTTCACATCCCAGAGTCTCTCTGTTCATGCCAAGCACATGTACAATTGCTCATGCTCCTGGCTGACTGACTGGGGGTTAGATTGTTTTAGAAGATCCTGTTGAGATGGTGCCTATCTCTCTTAAGGAGGAGCTCAACAAACTTCAAAACAAAGCAGAACCAAGCTAGACCAGATTTTGCCCTCCCTCTTACTGTTCTGTGAGTCTTATCTCTCATTTCTTCTTGTTCCATGAGCCTGCCATGGACTTCTGTCCTGTGTCCTTCCCATCTTGGTAATGGTATATTATAGAAATTCTGTAAGGATAAATGTTCATTTCATGTGTGAAACATTCTTGAGGTCAAATTACACTTTAGCAAAACAAAAAGAGAAGCAAAAACAACCAGAACTTTTAGTAGTTTCACAACTTTATGATCCACGAGGACGGATTAAGTCCATTTTAAAATGCAGGGAATATTAAGGATACTTTTTTGATTGAAAAAGGGAATATGTTTCATTTTAGGCCTACTTGGAAATGGAATTTAAAGAGGCAATTACTGCAGTCATGAAGTACATTGAAGCAACACCTGTTCTTATAAAAGGAAAAAGTGTGAAAATATGTGTTCCAGAAAAGAAAAAAGCACAGGTAAACTGGTTTTAGATGTTTTATCATTGTTGATTAGTTTATCTTATTGTTAAAGATAGCACATATTCAGAAAAATGCATAAAACGGCTGTTAGATAAATGGATCATGTGTTTATATGATTAAATTAAAATACAATGAAATTAGTAATTTTAGATAGATAGAACTGCAAACAATATTAAATGACAAACAGCAGACTAGGAGAAAGTACTTAACATGTATAGTAAAAAAAAGTAGTAAACATCTATGAAACCACTACCTAAGTCACAAAATAGAACATCGGCAACATCCTGGAAAACCCCTGGCTTGCTTCTTTCCAATTCTTCCTTCTCTTCTACCCAGAGATAACCCCCACCTCGATTTCTAATTTCTAGTTGAGTTTTGCCTGTTTAGAACTTCTATGCATGCAGTTTATGGAGTATGATTATTTTGAGCTTTTGCTTCAATACAGTTATCACTGTTCTTGAGTGTAGTCTTTGTTGATCATTTTTTGTGCCTTCATTTATATAGCCTTAGAAAATATAGAATTGAAAATATCCAGTGAGTTTACTTTGTATGTGTATGTTCTTTCTCTTTTTTTAATTTGCTATAGAATGCATACTTTATAAGGGTTGTATAACACACTTTTCTCAATCACTGATTTGTCACTCTGTGTTAGGACAAGCATGTTTTCTTTATTTTTAATATTTGTGTGGTATTTACCTTTTATGAATATTATCAGTTATTTTACCAACTCCTCCTTATTGATTGATGTTTAGGTTATTTCTGGTTTCTCATAGTATAAACAGGACTTTAGTTAACTCCTTATATGTCTTTCACATGCCATCCTTTTGCCTTTAGGGTAGTGTTTTTTAAAATGACACCTTTAAGTGGGTTTGTCAAGTTATGGGATGCTCAGTAATAGATAACAAATTATCCTCTAAGTAGCTATAGTAATTTATAATAATTATAATTTCTGAGATTACTAGTGTTCCTGTCTTACCAATAACATCTTAATTTCTTCATTTAAAAAAATTCAGTATGTAAAAAATCTAGTTTTAATTTGCATTTTCCTGATTAGTGAACTTTAACACCTTTTAATATAATACTATATCTGTTAAAATTTCTCTCTTAAAAATAATCTGTTCATTGTTTTAGTGAGTCATCTTTATCTTCTCCTATTTTCACTTTTTTATTTTAAAAATTATTTGAAGGGGCCAGCAGATGGCTTAGCAGATATGTCTCTGGACTCTCATGACTGACTGTGTTTCAAGTCTCTGACCTGGTGGCTTAAAAATCACACCAGGCACATGTGCATGCATGCCCATGATTCTGGGAGGAGAATGGAGGAAAAGGAATTATGGCATGGCCATCACCCACCTTGTGGGGTGATTGCTTACTCTCCCTTTCACTGTGTCTGTCTTTGTTTCTCTCTTGGACAAGTGCATGTGCCCTATGGAGAAAACCTCTTTAAAAAATTATTTGAAGATGTTTATTATTCTGGATACTAATTCTCAAATTACATATAAGACGTGCTTTCTTCTAGTCTATTCTTGTACATGTATACGTAGCTTTTGCCTTTTTTTCTTTCATCAATTTTAGAAGACCTCTATACCAGTGCCGAAAAAGATGTGCTTTCTCATTTTCTTAATTTATTGGTGATAGAATGTGTGGTTGGGATCAGTATCACTTCTAAAATAAGTGGCTAGTTAGCCCAACATCATTTATGCCTAATTAATTCTTCTTTGTTCATTTGAAAAATTATCTTATGTATATAAATTACCATATGCACATAAATATATTTATATTCTGTTGTAGCAATCTGATCATTTTTATGGCAGTAGTATATGGTTTCAATTATTAGAACAATTATAACTTTGTAATATTTTCTTTTCTTACTAGTAGAGTTTTTAATTTCTTTTTTTAATTTAAGCTTATTTTGATTAATCTTTACATTTACACTTGCATATTAGTTTCAGAATCAGTTTAGGTTCTCTGAAAAATCTTAATTGGGATTTAATTGATGCTGCATTGAATTTTTTTGTGGGGGGGGAAGCTTTTTTGCTTTAGGGCGCGTGCGCTCGTCAGAAAGAGACAGGGACAGAGAGACAGAAAGCGAGAAATCACCCCCCCGGGGGATGGCCACACTGCAATCCCTTCTCCTTCATTCTCCTCTCCGGATCTTGGGCACGCAAGCACATGCACCCGGCGTGAGTTTAAGCCACTAGGTCTGGGACTCGTACCGCGGTTGACTACATGGGAGTTCAGCGACATAGCCATTATGCTAGCTGCTGGTCCCAATGCTGCATTGAATTTTTACTGATGGGCTTTTAATACTGAGTCATTCTATTCACAAACATAGTTTATTTCTCCATTTATTTAGATTTCATTTCATGTCCCTTAGCAAGTTTTGTGGGGATTTTTGGGGTTTTTTTGAGAGATTTTTGCCATAGGGTGAGTACCCTCACCAGAGAGACAAGAGACAGGGAACGAGAGAGAGAAAGTGAGAAATCACCTCCCAATGGAGATGGCCGCACTGCATTCCCCTCTCCTCCATTCTCCTCTTGGGATTTAGGGCACGCATGCCTGCACACGCACCTGTTATGAATGTCAAGCTGCTGGGTCCAGGACTCAGACCACAGAGGACAACCGTGTAGGAGTCTAATGCCTTAACCACTATGTCGCCTGCTGACACCAAGTTTTATATTTTTGCCTATAAAGTTTTTACACAATTTTTTCAGTAGAGGTTTTGCCTTAGAGTGCATATTCCCGCTGGAGAGAGAGAGACAGTGAGAGGGAAAGCGAGAGATTACCCCCCCAGAAGAATGGCCATGCCACAGTTCCTTCTCCTCCAGGGATCTTGGGCACACACACTCAATGTGAGTTTTAAACCTCTGGGTCCAGGACTTAAACTACAACTGGCCGTGTGGGAGTCCAACAACATAACTGCTATGCCATCTGCTGGCCCTAGAGTGTTGAAGGGTTTATTAAGTTTATTTAATACACATTAGCATGCGTACAAAAACACACTCTCTCATATAATATTACATGCATTGCTATTACAAAAAAATTTTTACTTTTTGTTTCATTTATGTTTTCTAATTAGTAAGTAGTAAAGTAACTCATCATTCTTCTGGTTTATACCTGATTAGTGCTATCTCATCGATTTATTCTCATTGTCCTGGTTTGGACAATGAATTGTAGGGCAGCTAGTTATTATCAATTTTTATCTTTTAGAGTTTCATTAAGTTTCAACAGAACACTTTACCAGTGGTTTATTGAAGAAATAGATATTTTATTTCATAACAGGAAATCTGCATGTAGGTGGTCCAGGGCTGCTATAGCAGTTCCATAATATCTTCAGGGACCTAACTATCCTGCTCCCCATATTTAATACTTTTATCCTCAATTCTAAGATATTGGTGTACTCTCTGGCATTATTTTTGTCTTCCAAGCAGAAAGAAATTAATAAAAATCAAAAGCCAAATGGGTTTTGATTTTTCTGGAAAGAATGAGTTCCCTAGCAACATTTGCCTACATTTGATTTATCAGAACCATGACACATAGCCACCTAATTGCAAGAGAGGTTATGGAGATACAAGGGTTAAATGCATAATTTAAGAATTTAAATTTTATCCTATAGACAGGTACATCCTATTCAAGGTTTTTGAATAGAGGCATTACGTAATTAAATGAGTGGATTAGAAAGATAAATCTGGAAGTGGTCTGGACCATGAATTAATTGGACAGATGTCTCTGAAGGCAAAGAAAGCCTAAGTAGATTGATTGAAGTGGAGAAGAAATAGTGCACTGAAGTCCAGTCAAAAGTTTCATCTATTATTTCATCCAACTGTTGTGAAATGGCTATGGTTTCAGATAGATTAGTAGCCTTGAAGATAGAAAAATAGCTTATAACAAGTGACCATGAGGTAAGACCTGAATGATCATTAAATTTGAAGAACTGGGGGGAAACCTAGTCTTCTTTAATTCTAAAATGTTTAATCTAGGATTACTCAATAAAACAAAGTTCTAGATCCCTCACAGAGTTTAACTTCAAAAGATAGGAAGAGAAAAACCACAGAGAAGTTAAAAATATATGTATATTATGACTGTTGACAACAAGTGCTGTGGGAGAAGATGTCAGAACAAGGTAATAGAAATATACTCTTGGTGGGGACTGTGGAGCTGTGCACCTTTCAATAAGGCAGTCTCATTTTTGTTTGATGATTGTGTTTTATTGTGTCTTTTTTTTTTGGTAGTCTCATTTTTAAAATGGTGGGTGTTTGAGGGAGTAAGCCATGTCCTAGGTTGAAAGCATTTGTTTCAGAAAGAAGAGATAGCAACTGCAAGAGACTTTGAGATTCACACTTGTGCAGTTTGTTTGAGGGCTGAAATTGATGCTTGGGAATGGGGTGAAGGAATCGAGGAAGTATGTAGTAGTAGGCAGGTGAAAGTTAAATGGGAAATACCGTGTAAACTCTTACAGGGCTCAGGTACTGACTTTTGCTGTGAGCGTAATTCAAGTCTAAGAGTGGCAAGTTTAATGTGACTTTATGTTGTGAATAGAGCATGGGTAGGTGGAAAGATAAGAACAGAAGCAAGTCATAGTAATCAAATGTGAAAAATGGTGGTAGGTTGCACCAGGACGATAGCAGTTAGACACCTAAAATGTCACAACACTGTAAGACATATTTATGAAAGATAGTTGATGATAAGAAAATATAGATGAATGGTAAAACATGAGATATAAAATTATGCTGTGTGACCACAAATTCAAGAAACTACCTTTGTTTTGTCTTTTCTTAGGAGGAGGTAGTAAACATATAAACATACTTCAGGAAGATTTTAGATTTTTCTTATTGTTGGATTTATGCTTAATTTACTAAATTGCACCTTCTTTTTTTGGAGAGATTTTTGAAATAAGAGCGTGTGCGCTCACTAGAAAGACAGAGTCAGAGAGACAGAAAACGAGAAATCACCCCCCCCTGGGGGGGGTGGCCAAGCACGCACACGCACCTGGCGTGAGTTTAAGCCACCGGGTTCAGGACTCAAACTGTGGTCAACTACATGGGAGTCCAGCGACATAGCCATTATGCCAACTGTTGGTTCCACTAAATTGCTTTTTATAATTGAGGAAATGATTAAGTTTTGATTTTTTTTTCTTTGTAGAACAAAGAGGTGAAGAAAAAGACTTTAGATTCAAAGAAAGCATCTGCTTTAAAGTAAGTGATTCCATGATTTCATATGTAAGAATAAACATGCATATGAAGTAAGACATTTTAATTTTTAAAACTGCATATTTAATATATTTTATCACCATAACTACAGCTTAAATGAGATATCATTCCCATTGAATTATTGAGACTTTTTTTAGATATAAACTTTGCATTTTTAGAATTTTATGAAACTTAGAATTTCTAAGTTGTTGCTAATTATTTTCTTCTTTTAAATAGAAAAGATGCAGATGCTTCAAAAGCTGTTGAAACTGTTACTTCAGCTTCTACTGGTAAGTTGTTAAATTTGCCTTCTCCAAATGAGTATATCTTTTTGTTTTTTGTTTTTTGGTTTTTTTTGGTAGATGTTTTTGCCTTAGGGCATGTGCACGTGACAGAGACAGTGAGGGGGAAAACTGAGAAATCACCCTCTCCCCCCAGGAGGTATGGCCACACTGCAATCCCTTCTCTTCCATTCTCCTCATGGGATAATGGGCATGTATGCACATGTGCCCAACAGGAGTTTTAAGCCACAAATCAGGGACTTGAACCCTGTTTGGCCATGTGGGAGTCCAGTGATGTAACCCCTACACCATCTGCTGACCCCCAAATGAGTATATCTTGTCAATTTACTAGAAACTTCTTGCAGGATGATACCAAGACAGCATTATTCATTGTGACTTATTTATTCTGAATAATGGAAAGGGGACCCAAATTTCATTCTTCAGTTAACATTAAACAGATGACCAATATTTAGTATTATGTAATTACAGAATCCTTTCTGAAATAAATACAAGGACTCTATGAGATAATGTATATAAAATGCCTATCATAGTTTCATAGTTAATAGCTAGGGTTTTTTTTTACATGTCTAGGTTAGTTTTGCAATATATCTATCCCCTCCCAATAAACCCACAAGATAAAGCCTAAAGAAAGGCATGTTAAAATCGCTTATTTGGGAGCTGGCAGGTGGCATGGTGGTTAAAACGCTGGACCCCCTCATGACTGACCATGGTTTGAGTCCTGGACCTGGCAGTTTGCTTTCTCTCTCTCTCTAGTCAAACTAAAATATATTAAAGATTGCTAGGCTAGCAGGTGGTGTGATAGTTGAGGTCCTGTACTCCTACGTAGCCAACCACAGTTCAAGTCCTGGATCTGGTGGCTTGCTTTCTCACTTTCTCTCTCTCTCACTCGCTCTCTCGCTCGCTCTCTCTCTCTCTGGTCAAGTTGAAAAATAATAAATAAAATGAAAATAACTAATTTTAAAAAAAGACTGTGTGTTTAGTCCCCTTTAGAGCACTTAGAAGGTTATCTTAAGAGTTCAAAAAAGTAAGCAAAGAGTAAACAGACTTGTGTGAAAAGTTTATGCTTAAGGAAGACATTTCAGGTCTTTATTATGAATGTAGCTAAATGAATTTTGCATTAATTTTTTTATTTTTTTTTTCTTTCTTATCTTCCCTGAGAAAGGGAGAGAAAGAGCCTAACACTTCCAACAGGCTCTTCACACTATAATCTACCCCCAGCCTCTACTACCCAGAATGATGGGGACATGCATGCCCATTTTATATAGGAAGACCTTGGGAAGTGAACCTAGGACCTTCCCATGTGTCTTTAACATCACAGAATATTAACTGCTATACCATCACAGCTGGTCAGCATACATAGAAACTGAGGTATATTTTTTCTTTTTCTACTTAGGACTAGAAAGGTGGAGAGAAATTGCTGCCAAAACACAGTCTTGAGACATAAAATAATAATTTGTGTTTTGTATGTTTTGTTTTGGGAAGGCAGGTATGTAGTGTATTTCAAATTTCTATTCAGAATAGGGTAAGAGTTTAGGTTATATAGCAATCAAGTAACTGGAAAATTGGATTATGTAAAACATCTCATTTCCTTATAATGTTTAATAGGGTAGAGTACTGAAATACAGGAATTAATGGTGTTACTATGGATGGCCTATTGGAAAGCATTGAATTTTGAGTAAGATTTTAAGCCAGATGACGTATGTGAGCAGAGATACAGAGAAGCAGATTACTTTATTTGGGGGAGATAACACAACAAAGAACAAAATTGAAGAATCACTCTATAGAACATCTTGACGGGTCATGCTGGGAAGTTTTTGAATTTGACCCCATTAATAGCATTTTCCAAAATGTGTTGTGTGAAAGACTGATTCTTGAAAGATGTTCTGAGTCATGTGTAGAATGTATAATAATAAATATATATTTCCCTTTAAAACAAAAGAAACCCACAAAACATTTTGTCAAGTCCTACAGCAAGAAACAAATTTAGTTTTGTTTAATTCACTGTTACCTGTGCTTTGCTAAGGTACACTTCATTTTTTCTGTATAAGACCTATTAATAATTGGAAGCTGGGGATGGCAGATGGCATGCTGGTTAAGGTGCTAGACACCCTCATGGCCAACTGTGGTTCAAGTCCTAGACCTGGCGGATTGAACCTCATGCCAGGCACATGTGAGTGTGTTCAAAATACCAGGAGGAGAAGGGATTGCAGTGTAACCATCCCCACTAGAAGGTGATTTCTCACTTTCCCTCTCACTGTCTCTCCAGTGAGTGCGTGTACCCTATGGCAGAAGTTTTTAAAAAATAGCAATTAAAAAAAAATAGCTGGGAGCCAGCAGGTGGTGCAGATGCTAAGGCAGCTGGATCCCACATGGCCTACTGCATGGTTCAAGTTCTGGACCTGGGAGCTTGAATATTGTACCAACCACAGATTTGTGGATGCCCAAAATCTCAAAAGGAGGATGGAGGAGAAGGGATTGCGCTATGGCCATCCTCTCTGGGGTAATTTCTTATTTTCTCTTTTCTCCCTCTAGCAAGCCAATGTACCCTGTAGCAAGCTTTAAAAAAAAAAAAAAAATGGTGCAGGCTCTGAGAAACACTCACTAGTTGTTTAGGTTTCTCAAATAAATTGGATAAAATGGAAAGGTTGAAAAATCTTGTTGAGGGGCCAGCAGGTATGTGGAGCTTAAGGTGGCTGGATCTCACATTGCTGACTTAGTGGTCAAGTCCTGAACCCAGTGGCTTGGAAAACACTCTTGGCTCATGTGCGCGTGTGCCCAAAATCCTGAGAGAATAATGGAGAAGGAAGAATTGCAGCATGGTCATCACCCCAGGGAAATTTCTCACTTTACCTCTGTCTTTCTCTGTCTCCTTTGCTCTCTCTTTGGTAAGTGCATACCCCCTATAATAAAAACAATAGAAAGAAAAGTCCTATTGAAAACACAATTAGGATTCTAGGTTTCAGTTTGGGGTAATTAGGACCTGATGTAAAAAAAATTAAGTAAAATAATGTATAATGTGGGAAGATAGAATCTGAATTTTATTATATGGAACTTTTTTTTAGAGGATAAGATATACTGTTTTCTTTGAGTTTGGGGAAAACTGTGAACTTAGATTTCAACATTACCAAATTTCACCTATCAAAGAATATCTATTCGACCAATCCAGTCATTAGTCATATGGCATTGAAAATAGAACACTTAGAAATTTTTTTTAAGGTTAAGGTGTAAATTTTTATTTTTTAAGAATTATTTAACTTTATTTATTTATTTATTTTAATTTGATCAGAGAGGGGCAGAGTGAGAGAAAGAGAGAGGGAAAGTGAGAAAGCAACTTGCCTGGTCTAGGAGTCAAACCATGGTTGGTCCTGTGTGAGTACAGTGCCCTTAACCACCATGCTACCTGCCAGCCCCAGTTTAAGGCTTAAATTTTGGGTGTGGGTCTAAGATAATAAAAGCACAGTATAGGGAGAAGTGCTTTAAGCTGAATACTTTCTCTAAATATAAATGTAAAAATAAAAGGGGAATCAGCAGTTAGCGTAATGGCTGTCGCTGGACTCCCACGTAGTTGACCGTGGTTCGCGTCCCGGACCCGGTGGCTTAAAACTCACGCCGGGCGCGTGTGCGTGCATGCCCAAGATCCTGAGAGGAGAATGGAGGAGAAGGGATTGCGGCGTGACCATCCCCCCTGGGGGGTGATTTCTTTCTTTCTGTCTCTATGTCTCTCTCTATCTGGCGAGCGCATACGCCCTGTAGTGAAAACCTCTCCAAAAATAAATAAATAAATAAATAAATAAAATAAGATAAGTAATAAAGTTTCTTTCTTGAGAGAGAGAGACCCTCAGTGGGGTCTCACACCATGATGTCCATCACTAACCCAGCCAATCGTGATCACAGGAGTGAGCACATACATCCTCTCTGTGTATGGGTAGACCTGGGGACAGAATCCTAACCCCCTACGTGGCTTCTAGTCTCTCATCCACCAAGGCTGTGCCTCAGTAAGATTTTTCAAACTTATAAAATCATTCTAAAGTTTATAAATAGAAACTTAACATGGAATAATAGGAAGGAAAATTCTGCAAAGAAAGAATAATTAGAGGGCCAATGGGTGACTTGGTAGTTAAGGCTCTCACATGGCTGACTGTACCTCAAGTCACAGACCTGGTGGTTTGTTTTCTTGTTCTGTCTGTCTTGTCTCTCTGTCTCTGTTTTCTCTCTCTCTCTCCGGTGAGTGCATGTGCCCTGTAGCAAATTAAAAAGACTTAGAATAGTTTCATATGTAGTAGTTGTATAAATAGACAAAAAGTAAGTAGGACAGGAGAGAGTTTAGATATCCCCTAAAACATGGAATATCAGGAAAATATTAATATTTCACATTGGAGGAAGGTTAATTACTCATTAAATTGACTAGCTTTTAACTTTTGATGAAAATAAAGCACTCACATAAAAGTAAATTATATACATTTGGATCAAAGATTTAATGTGATACATAGGATAGTGAAGTTATTTTTTAAATGTGGAGTTTTTCCCATATTTAATTTTTTAAATTTCAAAGTAAAGAAGTCTTTCCCAATTACAAAAACATTTGACTAAATAAAAAGAATTATTATATAAATGTTTTGCATCACTTCAAAAAAACTGTTAACCTATGTGGTGTAGATTATTTTTCTTAATATATAAAGAATTCTAGTAAAGGATAAGAAAAGGCTCAGGCTAGCAGGTGTCAGGGCAGTTAAAGTGTGGCTGGATCTCATATGACTGACTTAGTGGTCAAGTCCCGAATCCAGTGGCTTGAAAAACAGGCTGGGCACGCATGCGTGCGTGTGTGTGTCTGTGTGTGTGTCTGTCTGTCTGTCTGTGTGTGTCTGTGTGTCTGTCCAAAATTCCAAGAGTAGAGTGGAGAAGGGAATGCAGCATGGCCATCTCTCACTTTCCCTCTCTGTCTCTGTCTCTATCTGGTGCATGCACACACCTTATGGCAAAAATCTTAATTAAAAAAAAAAAAAAGGAAAAAACTCAGCAATCCAAAAGATAAATTGGCAAATAGTATGATTAGGCATATTACAGAGAAAGAAATAGAGATGACTTTTAAACATGAAAATGTATACAACTTAACTCACAATTAAAGAAACAAAAGTTAAGTCATACCAGTATTTTTCTCACATTGGGAAGACTGATAACCTCTGATATAGTTAGACCTTTGACTTGATATACTTTGTATCTGCATGAGTGGAAATGAGGAAGCCCCACTCTCATGTATAATTGTTAGGAGTATTAATAGGCACAACTTTTCCGAAAGACACTTTAATGTTAATTTTTTTTTCCTTTTGAAAAATATTTATTGAGTATAAATAAATGTCCTATACATTAAATATCAAGAAATAGTATCGATTACAAGTCAGGCTGTAATACTGAGAGAACCATAGAATTAATATCCACTCATGATACAGTAGTGATAATTCCATTCCAACAATGGACACAGCAATGATTTGCTCACAAGACACAGCAAAACCCATCAAAAAAGGCTACCACTTTAAACAATCTATAACACCACAATAGAAAATAGTTTAGAATCATAATGCAGTCTCAGTAATCTCATCTTCATCTTGTCAATTTGTTGGGTCACATAGAGGTCACATAGAGATTGTAGAGTACACTGTCATAGAATTTAAAGATTCCACTTCCTTGGTTCTATTTAAAATTAGTTAATGAATAAAAACAATTCATACAAAGCCAAAGATACTTTTAAGTACGTTAGTCTTTAATGTTAATTATTAAAAACCTAAATCTATGTGCCTTTTAACAGCAAGTCCATGTCTAAGAATTTGCCCCAGTATTAATTTCATAGGCCTTAAAGGTGAGCATCAGCATGTTTCTTCTAGTATTCTCTCAAAATTATTGCCAGGTTAGCACTTAGGTAAATATAAATGATGTTAAAAGAGTTCGCCCTTATCTGTGTGGGATACATTCCAAGACCTCTAGTGGATGCCTGAAATTGTAGTTAATACTGAATCCTGTCTGTACCATGTTTTCTTTTTTATATGTACCAACCTGTGATGAAATTTAATTTATAAATTATACATGGTAAGAAAGTAATAATAAAGGACTGGCAGGTGGCATGATAGTTAAGGGCGTTGGACTCCCACGTGGCTGATCGTGCTTCTAGGCCCTGGACCTGGCGGTTTGCTTTCTCACTTTCCTTCTGTCTCTCTTCCTCTCTCTTTCTCACTCTGTCCTTCTCTGGACAAATTTAAATAAATAAGTTTTTAAAATGACTTAAAAAAAAAAAAGGAAAGTAACAGTAAGAACAACTTTGACAATATACTAAAGTAAAAGTTGTATGAATGTGGTTTCCCTCCCTCTCAAAATATGCTGTTATTCTGCTCGGTATTCTTTTTTTTTTTTTTTTTTTTTGAGAGAGATTTTCACTGTAGGGCGCGTGCGCTCGCCAGACAGACAGAGAGTGACATAGAGACAGAAAGCGAGAAATCACCCCCCAGGGGGGATGGTCACACTGCAATCCCTTCTCCTCCATTCTCCTCTCGGGATCTTGGGCACGCACGCACACGCGCCCGGCGTGAGTTTTAAGCCACCGGGTCCGGGACACGAGCCGCAGTTGACTACGTGGGAGTCCAGCGACATAGCCATTACGCTAACTGCTGGTTCCCGGTATTCATTTATTTTTTGACCACAGTTGTCTACAGCACAGATTAGTCAAACCAAAGAAAGCAAAACCAAAGATAAGGGAGGACTCTGTATTTGTAATGTATTACTAAATTTTGTTATTGTTGTTATTTTAGGCAAAACTGGACAAGCCAAGGCATCTGCAGCCAAAATAAACAAATCTGCAGGTATGTTTTTTGATTAAGATTCTAGACATATTACTTAACCTTAAGCTATTTAAGAAGTACATAACAGTAGTCTTAGATTTCATGTGACATGGTATATAATGAATGTATACCGATCTTTGAAATTTATTGTCACCCAGTAGTTGTGATAAATGAGATTTAGTAGCTAATACTCTCTCTTTATAATCATTAACAAAATAAGATAATTTAACTGGAGAAAGTATTTCTCATGATAAATATCAGCAATATACTCTTCCTTCTCTTTTATTGATATCTCTTTGGTTAATTAAACTCCCTTTACACAGTAATCCAGACAATAAAAATATTTTCTTTGCAATTTTTAATAGGCTATGGTGAGTTTTAAAGTAATTATTAGTCTTTTTCTCTTTCTTCTGGTATAATTCTCCTTTCTAATTTCCCTCCCATTTCTGCTAAATCTGGTTAACTCAGTCATCTCTTTTAAGTGCATACTACAATTCAACGTATTAAATTGTCTTCCCTATAACATTTAAAAGGAAAGAGAACAGCCTTGAAATGACAAATATCATCGTTAGGGGCAGATCCAGATTTTCATATGGTAGCTCCTTAGAAGCAATAACTTAGGGGGTCCAGGATGGCTGGGAATCTTTATCTTGAGGCTGCCTTGATTTAGCCAACACTTTGATATTTGATAGTATACCTATGAGAGTCAGTGGCAAAGACTTGATAGTAGACTGGGTGCTAAAGTCAATAACCATCTCTTAACTATTGAAAATTAATGCTGGCCACTTTTTCCTTAAATTCTGATACTTAAAAGTAATAAAGTGGTAGTAACAGAAAGATAGTGAATGAAATACCTTAAGGGGCTGACTAAGGTCTGGTGTACTGTAGTGGAGCCTATAGAATTAACAGGCTCTAAAGATTGGTGTTGCTTTTTCTGAACAAAGATTATGGTCTGTCTTTATAATAAGGGACGGATTTGTAAACTATTTGGATTTATTTTTTGAGGATATCAGTATTTTTTTTTTTCATTGTTTGTTTTAATTGTCAAAAGTACATTTGGATTTTCGCAGGGCTCCTGTTAGATAGCTGTGGCAATCACCATCCTTGCTTGTGTGGGGGAAACTTGCACAGCTCTCACTTCACCAAGATGTCTCATTTTAACTTGCAATTCAATTTGGGTCTACTGATTTCTGATCCTGAGCTTTTTCTTCATACGTTATCACTAGTTGTTATGAATCCTAATTTTTATAGTGAAATCACCTGTTGCTATTTGAATGGAAGAGATTTTAGCTCTCTGGTGATCTTTTCTGCAACATTTTGATAATCCCAGTCTTTTAGCATCACGTTGGAAATTAAGTACTATTAATAGATTTGTAGGTACAGAGAATGGTCAAGAACATTTTAAATAGTTCTGTACAGCTAGAACACACTAAGAATGTATTGGGACCAGCAGTTAGCGTAATGGCTATGTCGCTGGACTCCCACATAGTGGGAGTCAAAGCCATCATTTTGTGACCTTCCCATGTTATAGGTATTCTGAATGCTTGCAAAACAGCTGTGAGCCAAGAAAGCACAGTTTAGAAGGCTCTAGATTCCAACTCCTTTTGTAACCATTAAAAACATGGAATTATGGGGAACCAGCAGTTAGCGTAATGGCTATGTCGTTGGACTCCCACATAGTCGACCGCGGTTCGTGTCCCAGACCCGGTGGCTTAAAACTCACAATGGGTGGGACCAGCAGTTAGCGTAATGGCTATGTCACTGGACTCCCATGTAGTTGACCGTGGTTCGAGTCCCGGACCCGGTGGCTTAAACTCACGCCGGGCGCGTGTGCGTGCGTGCCCAAGATCCCGAGAGGAGAATGGAGGAGAAGGGATTGCGGCGTGGCCCCCCCCCCTGGGGGGTGATTTCCTGCTTTCTGTCTCTCTGTCTCTCTCTGTCTGTCTGGCGAGCGCACGTGCCCTATAGCGAAAATCTCTCAAAAAAAATGGAATTATTTTTATGTCCTTGGAATTAGTAGTTTTGCTTCTAGTGGCTTCACACATAGAGATTTATTTAACTTGCATGAATTCTAGTTTTTAAGTACCACAGCAAGGAAATGAATTCTTATTTCAGTGGTACTTTTCATTCTAAAGAAATAATCATCATTACTAGAATTAGAAAGTGGCCTGTACTGCCTCAGGTGATAGCATTTTATGTTTTGAGTAAAATATAGTCTATTGGTCTTAAATTCTTTCTCTGTGAGGTTCTTTGGTGATTGTTGAAACTAGTGAAAATAAACCAGTTTTGACGGAAGGTTTCTTTGTGATTTAGGAAAATCTGCGAATTCTGTAAAATCTGTGGTAACGGTAGCTGCTAAGGGTAATAAAGGGTCAGTGAAAACAGGTAAGACTTGGGGAGAGGGGTTTATTAAGCTATTTCCGAATTCTGCCTTAAGGAATGTAAGAAATACAATACTAAAAGCAAAATCTAAAGTGATATAATGATTTTTAGCATCTAATAACACTAAAGTTTAGTAAGTTTTTTGATACTTAAGCCTGACCCATGTAGGATTTTTATTTGTTGTTACTTTGGTCTTTGACAGTATCTGTCATTATAGATACATTTTTATGCAGGTATATAATCACAGCCATATAATATGTAACTGTACTTTTTTGACATACATAATTTCAGGCTGCTCTTCATTTCTTCCCAAAATTATGTAATCTTCAGTTTCTTATTTTTTTCAGAGCTGCCACTTCATATTACCTTTCCTAATTTGACCAGAGAGACAGAGAAAGGGGGCAGGGAGTGAGAAAGCAAGCCTCCAGGTCCAGGACTTTAACTGCTGTTAGCCATATGGAGTCCAGGCCCGAACCACCACACCGCCTGCCAGTCCCTGATGTTTATTACTTTAAAAGATTACTTCTTACCATATTAGGATAATACATTTTCTTCATAAAGAGAACACTGTTTAAAATAAGTGTGGCTTGTTGAAACTAGCATAATTTTTTAGTAACATTTTAAGGAACTTTTGCAGAAATTACTTTTTTTATATATGATTATGATGTGTTTCTGCCACATGAAGATTAAACTTTTGGTTCATTTAAACCCAACAGCAAAGAATTATATCTCAATTTAAATTTAGTTTTAATCGTACAGGTATTGAAAATAAAAAGAAATATTGAATATACAAGAAAGAACTTCTTTTATGATGAAGTTGAGCTGTTTATTTACTAATTATTTATTTGTTTTCTGAGAGATCTTTGCTATCAGGCACATGCGTTCACCAGAGAAACAGAGAGAGGGAAAGCAAGCAGTCATTCCCCTAGGGGTCAGGAGATGGCCACTCCACAAACCCCTGTCCTCCATTCTCTGTTAGTATGAAACATGCTAAATGATTGAATAGGACCATATAATTATGATTTAATTTTACTTTTAAAAGCAAAATCTACGGGAAAGAAGTCTCTAGAAGCCAAAAAGGCTGCAAATGTCAAAATTAAGGATGCCAGTAAAGCTGTGACTATACCAGGTAAGCTTAGTAATGTTGTCATTCAGTGCATTATTTTCTTTAGATTCTCATGGTGTGCATTCATGGTGTACTTTAGAATTTTGCTTAAAACTCCTCAAAGGAATTATTTTGCTTTTCAAAGAGAAATTTGTTTTGTAATCTAAGTCAGTTCAAGCTAAGGAGACTTAAAATGGCAAAATAAACTAGCTTAAATTTCTGATCAGATTCTCTAGTTTAATTATATTAGTGTTTTTCTAGACTGTTAAAGCAGATTATTTCCCACAGAAAACTCTGAAATAAAGACCAATATGGAAGTCATAGTCACTGAAAACAATGCTAAAGAAATTGTTTCAGGTAAGTTAATAGAAATTTTATTTTGTTTCTTATGTTTGAAGGTAAAGGAAAGTTAAACTTTTAAGAGAAGAGGTATTTAATTTTGTATCCTGTGTGTGTGTGTGTGTGTGTGCACGCGTGCGTGCATGTGTGTATTTCAATACCAGGGTTATGTCTAAGTGAAATTAAGAATATGGGCCAGCAGGTGGCTTAGTGGTTAAGGTGCTGGACTCCCACATGGCCAATTATAGTTTGAGCCCTATACCCAGTGACTTGAAACTCACACTGGGTGTGTGCGCACATGCCCAGAAATCCTGAGAGGAGAATGGAAGGGATTGCACATGGCATTCCTTCCCCCCAGGGGTGATTTCTCACTTTTTCTCTCTCTGGTGAGTGCATGCACCCTATAGCAAAAATCTCTTAAAAAAGAAAAAAAAGCTATGATTCAAATCTTCACCCTATCTCTTGGTTATTCTAAAATGTTGGCCTCAGAGGGAATAAAATTAAACATACCACTTAAAAGCCAGTTTCTCTTATTTTCTAGTAATCTTCTAGTCATTTGTTAGTTATGTACATCTTCATGTAGTTAATATTGAATCTATTGTGGAATAAAGTGGCATCTTGATAAATGTACCTTCATAAATTTTTATTTTATTTTGTGTTAAGAAGCTGCTTTGGAGACCACAGAAAATGAACCAATTAGCAAGGTCAGTTTGTTTCCTTATTTCTTTAAATCTTAAGAAGTTTGACATTTTTCTTAGAAACATACCTCCTGTAAAAAAAATGTACAGAATTTGATGTGAAAAATCCCAGTAATTTGAGACTTAAAAAATACAGTTTCAGGAGCCAGCAGATGGCATAATGGTTAAGGTGCTAGACTCCCATTTGGCCAACTGCAGTTTGATTCCTGGACCCGGTGGCTTAAAACTCAAGCTGGGTGCATATGTTCCTAAAATCTCAAGAGGAGAATGGAGGACAGGGGATTGTGGAGTGGCCATCTCCTGACCGCAGGGGAGTGATTGCTTGCTTTCCCTCTCTGTTTGTCTGGAAAGCACATGTGCCTGATAGCAAAGATCTCTCAGAAAATAAATAAATAAAACATAGTTTCAGTTAAAAACCTTTAGTTGCAGATTATGTCACAAAAATGTAGGAATAGATTAGCAATAAAATTTTTATGTTTTTGGAACCCACTTTTCACTGAGAACAGCATATTAAACCAAAATGGGTTTTTGTGTAGACAGTAGATTGTCAAAATGGGAACTAATAGAATTTTGTATTATCTCTGTTTTCCTGAGATATAAGTGGGAGATATGTTAATATTTAGAAAGCTAATTATTTGTGTTTTTGGAGGAGCAAGTGGAGTTTTCAGTTTTATTTGAAGGACATGAAATTTATTGTTTTCTTCTGGTTGTATTTATTATGAAAAGCTTAACTTTTACTGGTTTAGATTTTGAGGTTATTCAGCTTCTAAGCATAAGTTTTTAACTTGTTGATCCATTCTTCAAGTAGTAGCTAAGTTATTTAGGAAGAGTATTTCGAAGAACATTAGAATCATGTAAAACTCTTCAGAAGGAATCTTATAAGAACACATTTGATGTTAGTCAAAAATTATTCTCACTGGTTTATGAAAATTATAACTTTCTACCTTTTGTACAAAAGAAAAGTCAAAAGTTGTCAAGTCTACTATAGCCCATCTTTAGGAATTTCCCCAACATCTACAAAAGGAAAAAGTGGCATTCATGAGAGTCATCTTGAAGAATAAAGGAGATCTGAGAGAAGGAATGGCAGAAAAGAAAGTACTTGCAGTGGGGATTAGGTTGTGCGGTAAGGATCCTAAGGAGATTAGATAAACTCGTGGTTTTTTGGTTTTGATTTTGGTATTTTTTTAATAGGATTACCTTATTTTATTTCTTTCATGAGAGAGAGCGACAGACACTCACAATAGGGTTTTCACACCTGGATCCACCCTTACCTTCAGTCAACCTGTATCACAGGTACACACCCAAGTGCCTAGAACATAAACAAGGAGACATCCATGTGTGAGCCTAAGGCCTACCTTCCTAGGTAGGCCCAGCTGTATGGCTTGTTGCATTACTACTATACCAATGCTGCTGTTCTTCCACTTTTTCCTAATTTTTTCCTTTATTCAGAAGAGAAAGGGGCCAGCAAGTGGTGTAGTGGTTAAGGTTCTGGACTCCCACATAGCTGACTGTGGTTCAAGTCCCAGACCTGGCGGTTTGAAAATTAAAGTTGGTTCATGTGTATGCATGCCCAAAATCTGAGGAGGGAAATGGAGAAGGGATTGCAGTGTGGCTATCACCCTGCGAATGATTTTTCACTTTCCCTCTGACTGTCTGTCTGTCTCTGGCAAGTGCACATGCCTTATGGCAAAAACCTTAACAGGAAAAAGAGAAAAGGAAAAGCAAAGTAAAGTGCATGGCCTTGAGAGTGAGAGACGGAGAGATGAACAGCTTCTATAATTACGCCATGATCTCTTTTTTCCAGTCTGCCTGCTCATTAGATCTTGGGTACTCTGTGTGCCTGGCATGTTCAGGCCAACCCAGATGGGCATTCGAACTATAGACACCATATAGGATCTGGTTTCTCTTGATCAGTGCATTATTATTGTGCCACAGAGCTGGCTCTCCTCCCACCACCCTTTTAAAAAAATTTTATTTCTACTGTGAAAGAGACAGAAGCAAGCACCTTCAACCAGGGCTTCATTGCACCAGGAACTTTTTGACACCTGCTCCCCCAGCTTTCCAGCCAACTGGTATCACTGATGCACATACTTGGTGTGTTTCAAGTCAACCCAGAATCTGAATCGTTTTCCATGTGGCTCCAGCACTGTAGAGCAGTGCCCTACCACTTATGCTACTGTGCGTGGGCCTAGATAAAGCTTCTTTATGAAACTGCCAAAAAGTGATTATCTTATTCAGAAAGATAAACTGATCTAAACTTGAAAATTTCAGCATTACACAAGGCACAAAGAATGGCAACAGTACATGAAAGAAAGGAGTTGTAGTCAGAAATAAGATGTTTTAAAACAGTAGATGAAAAAGGGACATAGAGACCTTTACCATTGTGTTGTTGGAAAAGTCATGATGTATTTTTTTGTTTTCTTATGCAAAAATGTATCATGACTTTTCCGACGACCCAGTAGATGACAGATAGTATGACCACAGTTAACCTGTGTACTTGGAGAACATGAATTTGCAATTTTTTTTTTTCATTTTTGAGGTTCAAACAGCTTCCATAATTGATCAAAATTTCCTGAGTATTAAATGCAATTTAAGTACTAACATGATGTACAATGCAAACTTTGGTAAACACAAAAGCAGTTAAAGAAATTTTAATATCGGTGTTTTAATTTGTTTTGAAGGAAACGGAAGAAATGTGTTTGGTACTTATTTCAAATTTGCCTGCTAAAGGTTATTCTATAGAAGAAGTGTATAACTTAGCAAAACCATTTGGTGGTTTAAAGGATATTTTGGTATTATCATCTCACCAAAAGGTAAGAGTTGATATAACTATTTATATTTAGAAATACATTTTGAAAAATCATTAAATTCACAAAACATTTGAGAGTTTAAACGCACATCTCAAAGTAGCTTTTTTTAAGCTAAGGGATTTTTAAAGTATAAGACACAGATATATTCTTTATTTTAGTAGTCTAATCAGGAATAGTTTTAATGATGGTGAGGAATGGCTGGCTTACTAACTAGTGTCAAAATTTTGCTCAAAACTTGTATTTAAAAGAAAGCGTTTTACATCTTTACTGTGTTTAATAATGTTTTAAGATGACTATAAGATTTTGTAGATCTCTCTTTAGTAGTAGTTTTTCTTATTTCTGCTGTTTTTACCAGGGTACCCAAATAGTAAATAATAACCATTTTCAGACTTAAAAACTAATAATACCATCACTTAGAGCAACTTGTGTTTATCTGTATGTTCTAGTTTTCTGTATATATTGATTTTGTAATTTTAAAAACAGCATAGCAGTTTGGGAAGATATACTGATTTCAGGTAGGTTTAAATAATGGAAGTGACACTATTACAGTGGTGAGAAGAAGTGTTCTTATAATAGAAAGGAGTTGGCAATCACAAGAGATCTTTGAGAGTAGAGTAGAATATGTATTTAGTGATTATTAGAGCCAGTGTATTAGAAAAATCAGTAGGAGAGGAGAATTTGTATAAGAAAATTCTTTTTAGTTTATATGTTAAAAGTAGATTTTTGGATGGCTGTATAACTCTGTTAATACAATAAAAACCATTGCATTGTATCCTTTTAAATGGGTGAATTTTATGGTATAATGTTTTAATAAAGTTTTTCTTTAAGTAAATTTTTTGTAACATTTAAAGACAGACAAGTATAAGAAGGAATGTATGTTTTATTATAAGTTGTTTATGTAGAAATATATTGAAATAGGGGAAATTGTGGGTGTTTGTAAACAATTTACTACTTTACATCATAAACCAGAGCATATGTGTGAGTGGATAGACTAAATAAGTAAAAAATAGAAACACAAAAAAAACTAGATTATGTTCTGCCTACTTTTGATTACAGTTGAGTAGAATTTTTTAAAATTTGGAGATGTAATACTTTTCTTGATATAATATGGAAAATATTAGATTTAGTTATAAAAACCCTTTAACACATTTGTGAAATTAAAATTAAAGCAAAATGGAAATACAAAAATATGTAAAATGGGAAACAGGATTTTTTTTTTAAAAAGAATTGTTTAACTTCATTTATTTTTAATTTTTAATTTTATTTATTTATTCATTTATTTTAATTTGATCAGAGAGAGAGACACACACACAGAGAGAGAGAGAAGGAAAGTGAGAAAGCAAGCTACCAGGTCCAGGACTTGAACCATGGTCAGCCATGTGGGAGTGTCCAGCACTTTAACCACCATGCCACCTGCTGGTCCCCAAGAAACAGGATTTATACCATGTTATGCTATCACATATTGAAAGTTTAATAAATAAATTACAAATGACATAAAGAAATAATTTATTGAAATAAGAAACTTAAAACTATAAACAAGCAGAGAAGGTTTTTATCTCATTAGTTATTTTATTTTATTTATTTATTTTTGCTTTTTTTTTTTTTTTTTTTTTTTTTTTTTTTGGGGGCGTGTTCCCCCCCAAAAGACGAGAGACAGAGAGACAGAAAGCAAGAAATCACCCACCAGGGGAGATGGCCACGCCGCAATCCCTTCTCCATTCTCCTCTTGGGATCTTGGGCACACACGCACACGCGCCAGGCATGAGTTTTAAGCCACTGGGTCCAGGACGTGAACAGCGGTTGACTACATGGGAGTGCGTGGGAGTGCGACATAGCCATTATGCTAACTGCTGGTCCCTCATTAATTATTTTAATGTATGGAATTAAACTTAACCTCTTACCGAGGTATGAAATTAAAATCTAAGGAGTCTATAATTTTATACCTATGAAAATAGCACAATTAAAAATAGCCTGACAACTAGTACATATTTCTTGTCCTCTTTCATTTCTCACGTTTCTCATTTTATTAGTCACGAAATTTATTTACTCAGAAATACTCGTTAAATGTCTGTTTCATCCCAGATAGTACATTAGACAATAAGGATGCAGTGATGAATAAGGCAATACCTTAATGTTGGTTTCTGTAGTGTTTCTCCTTTTTTCACACTTTTGTTCAGTCATTTATTATTTCTTGCTTCTAGTTTTAATATTCTTGGTCTGTGGGCCTCATGTTATTTTTTATATTAAAAATATTTATGAGGTTGCTTTGTTCATGTGACTCTGAAGTATGAATTATTTTCAAGAAAATATAACATTAAATGAGACCTTTTGTTCTTTTCATTTCTATTTTAAAAGGCATATATAGAAATAAATAGAAAATCTGCAGAATCTATGGTAAAGTTTTATACCTGTTTCCCAATATCAATGGATGGAAATCAACTCTCAATAAATATGGCTCCTGAAAACATAAATATAAAAGATGAGGTAAATAATAAACTAACCATCATTTTTAGTAAGTCAATATTTATTTCTAGTCTGTTGTGTTTATTTTCTAGTTTTCTCTGGTCACATGTTTTAAACACTGAGGTTTCTTCCTGTCCCTCCAGTATTTACCTCTTCTAGTCTTTGAGAATTACCTTCATTTTTTTTTTAAGAATTATTTATTTAGTTTTAGTAATTATTATTAACTTGCTATAGGACACATGAGCTCACCAGACAGAAAGAGAGACAGAGAAAGCAAGCCTCCAAGTTTGGGACTCTAACCATGGTTGACTTTATGGGAGTCTAGCACCTTAACCACTATTCCACCTGCTGGCCTGAAAATTACTTTCATAGGAGGGAATCCTATCTCATGAATATTGGAGTGAAAGAAGTCTTGAAAACAGGTTTCTCCTTTCTGCTCTTACCTCAACCATGCTAGTATTCTGAAGATTGTCTTTAACCTTTTTCTCATATTTTTTACATTTAGTTCCTCACTAGACTTTGGACTGGTTTAACTCAGGAGTTTATTCCCTTTCTCTCCTCCTTCTACCATTATTTAATCTCCTAAAAACTCCTACTTGACCACCAAAGTAAATGGTTATTTGTACATTCTACCTGCAGTTTCATCTCTGTCAAGTACTTTCTCCGTAAAGCTGTGCAGCTGACATAAAATTCAAATCTATTTGAATTCAACTTCATCTTTTCAACTTCATGATTTAAAAAAAACATTCATCACCTCTTTGTAGCCTATAAACATTTATTATTAGTTGGTAAGAGACACAAAGTAAAGATATTAGGATCTCCAGAGGATGACAGAAATTCTTATCATTTGAAAAGCCTTTCACTGAGAATCACTTATATGCTATAATCAGTGGGGTTGTTTTATGCATATCAGTAGTGTCAAAAAGAAAAAACGTTTTAAGTACCATAGTCTCACTAGATAAAGTCCCAAGTCCTTTCCTGCCCATGAAGCCTTCCATTGTTTTTCTCTTCCATCTTTGACATCCTTGTCTCATGTCACTCTTGGCCTGTCTATAATTCAAAAACACCTAAGTATTGTAAATTTATATCCTTGCCTATTTTGCTTTGTTTTGTTTGGTTGAGAAGCTTTTTGCTGTACATTGCATGTACTCACCAGTGAGACACAAAGGTAGAAAGCAAGAAATCACGCCTGGGGTGCAGGTGGCCACGCTGCAATCCCTTCTCCTCCATTCTTCTCTTGGGATTTTGGGCTTGCATGCATATATGCCCAGCATGAGTTTCAAGCCTCCAGGTCTAGGACTTTAACTGAAGTGGGTCATGTGGGAGACCAACTCCTTAACCTCTATGCCACCTACTAGCTCCCCCTTTTCTGTTTTTTTATTTGTCTGTTTCTGTTCTTCCTCATCCCTACTTCACTTAGTTAACTTTTCTTTTGTAACTTGAATTATCTTCTTGTTGTCTGAATTAAGTCTTTTATTCCATGCACAGGAATTTGAGTGTCTTCCCTAAATGGTACTGCCTTTATGAATCTTTAATATACATAGGGGAACAGGAAGAATTAAGTTATATAAATAGGTTGGGACTTACGTAACTTTTTTAGGAGGAGAGGTGGGTTTTTGTTTTTACCTTTTTTACATATTCTTTTGCAAATATATAACTTCTTTTATTTCCTCATTTATGAAATACTATGTAATCCATATTCATTTTTATTATTATATTATGTAATCTCAACTACATATTGTATATTTTTGAGTATGAGCTTACACCTTCAACTTTTATCTGTTTTGGCTTTTTAGGAAGATATATTTACAACCTTGATTAAAGAAAACAACCCAGGGGTGAGTTTTGTACTTGTTTAATAGAAACCTTGATCTTATTTGTTCAACTTCTAGCAAAAAGGAAAACCTCAGTACTAATTTTAAGATAATGGGGGGGTGGGTAGGGATAACAGATGGAAGGTGTCTTAGTAAAAATAAGATATAAAGTGTTGTAGTAGTTTTCCAATACTTGTAAGTGGCCAGATGGATCAGTATCTTATCAGAGAATGTTTTGAGTGTATATTATTTTACTGATACTCATATCTAAGATTAAGACCTCATTGTTTTCACCTATATAGTCATTGTCTTACTATTGAGAGAGTATGTCATCTGATTCTGTAATATTAAATTACTGTTCTGTGTCCTACAGTTTGATCTACAACTTTATTTTTATATCTTGTTTTTTAAAAAAAAACTATAGGCAAATTTGGATAAAATTTACAGTCGATTTGTACATCTTGATAATTTACCAGAAGATGGACTTCAGTGTGTGCTTTGTATTGGACTTCAGTTTGGAAGAGTGGATCACCATGTATTCATGAGTAATAAAAACAAGGTAATTAGCTGTATGTGCTATAGAAAATATATAGCTGAACCCTAAATTCTTATGGTTTAGATTTTAATTCAACTTCTGATCTGAAGTACCTACAAACATTCAATTGTTGAACAGAATTATGAAAGACCAAAGTATTTTCTTTTGGATTGTGACAGAAAGAGTTTCTCTGTCTCTCTCTCTCTCTCTTTCTAGATCTCCTAGTTTTTTTGCTTTTTAATTTAAGTTATTACTATAGGGTATATGTGCTCACCAGACACAGAGAGAGAAAAATCACCCCCCAGGGGGAATGGCCACACCTCAGTCCCTTCTCATCCATTCTCCTTTTGGGATATTGGGCACACACTCATGCCCAGCATGGTTGTCAAGCTGCTAGGTCCAGGACTCATACCACTCAGCCAAGACATGTGAGATCCAGTGCCTTTACCTCCACATTATATGCTGGCCCAAGATCTCCTTGTTTTTAAGGAGAAATACTCACACCAGAGAGAAAAGTAATACATTGTAAAGAGCATTATCTTGCTGAGAAATTTAGGTGAGGATTCATTTAATGCTGTCATAACTATCTTTATGATCTTTACTAAGTTGATTTACACTTATTTTGAAAAATGAAAACCATGTTTGCACATTTTTTTCCCTTCCAACCATAAAATATATGTAGTCAGGTCTGTTTGCTGTTTAATATGTAAAGAAATAGAAATAAAACAATAATTTCTTGAAGCCACCCTGTAGCCTTGTGGTTAAGGCAGCCAGCTCCTACTTGGCCAGCTATGGTTCAAATTTTGGTTTTAGTAACTTGAAAAACAAATCCTAATAGGATAGAGAAATGGAGAAGGGATCATAGGGTGACCACACCCCTTAGGAGCGTACTTTCTTCCTCTCTTTTTCTCTGGCGTGCACACACCCCTGTGGCAATAAAAATAATAATTTCTAGCTTTTCTGGTGAGACTTCTTTCCTCAAAAAGAACCAAAAACCACTCATCTATTTCATTTGGTATGCCCTCTATGTAGTTCATCTATGTGTTTATTATTAATAGGTGAGTCATATATTACTGAGAAAGGTAAACTTTCATATCAAAGTTGACAATATTCACTTTATAAAATGTACATAATTGACCAACAATTAGAAATTAATTTCTCTGACATATTTCTAATTGATACATAGAATATACTTTAGTAGTATAGAAATAGTGTGACATAGGATGAAAGGAGGAATACAGATAGCAAATGGGAATTCTTAGCCTTTACTTTAGATATCTTTATTCTTTTATTTTTAAAAACATCTGCTATCCTCTTCCATTTTACTTTGCCTTTGCATCATACTAAGGATTGTTTTGTTTAGTTTGAAATAAAGATTTACCTTTTGTAATCACAAGTATGAAGCCTGAAAGAAAAATATATTCAAACTTTTCAAAAATTAAAAAAAATTATGGTGATAAAAAAATACAGATAGTTTTACCATTTGTGATACATAAATTTACTGTTTGAGCCATGTTTCAGTGGTATTGAGTACATTTACTTTTTACAAGCATCACCACCATTTATTTCCAGGATATTTTCATCCTCTCAAACTGAAGTTTTCTATCTATTAAACAGTAATTCCCCAGTCCCTCAGCCTTTGTTCAGCCATCATTCTGTTTCCTCTTCTATAAATTTGACTAGTCTAGGTACTTTTATACATGGAATTATATTTGTTGTTTCACAACTGGCTTATTTTACTTAGTATAATATCTTCTAGATTCCTCCATGTTATAGCATTTACCAGAATTTCCATCTTTTAGAAAACTGAATATTATTCTGTTGTATGCATAGTCCACATTTAAAAAATTAATTTATCCATTATTGGACATTTGGGTTGCTTTCGTTTTAGCTGTTGTGAATAATGCTTCTGTGGACGTGAATGTATGTTCCAGAGTCCCTGCTTTTAATTATTTTCGATAGAGCCTGAAAAGGGCAGTTGCTGGATTATATGATAATTCTTTTAAATTTTTAAGGATATATTCATAATTTTTTATCTTCTCCAAAGGCAATTCTTCAGTTAGACAGTCCTGAATCTGCTCAATCCATGTACATCTCTTTGAAACAAAATCCACAGAACATAGGTGACCATGTATTGACCTGCACATTATCTCCAAAGATGGACTTGGCAGAGGTAAGTGTTTTTTTAATAATCTTTTATGCTTTTAGAAAATGAAGAAAGCATAAAGATCATTCTCTCAAAGCTCAGACTGTATACTCTTAGGATAATCTGAAGGCAATTTCAGAACTTACTTTGAGACAGTAACTAAATGGGTTCTAAGTTTACATGTTCTTTCTTTTTTAAATTTGTTTTTAGTGAGTCAGCAGGTGGTTTGGTGGATAAGATGCTGGACTCGCACATGACAGACTATAGTTTGAGTTGTGAACCTAGTGGCTTTAAAATGACTCCTGGCATATGTGCATACATGCCCAAGATCCTGAGAGGAGAATGGAGAAGTGACTGTCACATTGACATTCCCCCGAAGGGTGATTTCTCACTTCCCCTCTCTCTGTCTCCTGTGAGGACATGCTCCCTATGACTAAAATCAATCAATCAATTCAGTCAGTTAAAAAAAAAATTGGTTTTTAGGCTGACCCTGTTGCCTATGGTTAAGGAAGTTGGCTCCCACATGGCCACCTTATAGTTCAAATCATGGCTATGGCTTGAAAAAGCACTTGCTGGGCGCTTATGTGTTTGTTCCCCATATCGTGACAGGGTGTATAAATAAAGAAGGGATTGCAGTGTAACCATGCTCCATCAGAGGGTGCCCCCCCTTTCTCCTGTTTCTTAAGTCATTCTCTGGTGAATACATACATCTGTCCTCTATCACCCACTCCCCTCCCTTACAGTCTTTGTTATTTACACTTAACCTGTCTACTGTCTGATCTTTAGGTCTTTATTTTCTACCATAGAGTGTAGACATTCAGTACGTGTTAAGTGGGGGATATAGTGTGTGTCTTTCAAAGTGTAGCTCAACATTAAGTCCTCTATATTCATCCACTTTAAATCACATGATAAGATCATTTTGTTCCTTACTGCTGAGAAATACTCCATAATATATATGTGCCACAGTTTTTCAACTCAGTCATCAGTTTTTGGACACTTTGGTTTATTCCATATCCTAATAATTGTGAATAATGTTGTAATAAACAGAGATGTACATGAGTCTTTTCCAACTGAATGTTATACTATCCTTTGAGTAAATACCAAGGAGTGGGGTTATTTGGTCATAGAGTGGTTCTACTTTTAGGTTTTGGAGGAATCTCTGTATTGTTTTCTGCAGAGGTTGTACTAACTTACATTCCCATCAACAGTGTAAGAGGGTTGGTTCTCTTTTCACCACTGCCTTGCCAGCACTTGTTTTTTGTTTTATTGCTGCTGGTATTCTAATTGAGTTACATGGTAACTCGGTGTGGTTTTAATTTCCATTTCCCTTATGACAAGAGACTTTAAGCATTGTTTCATATGCCTTTTGGCCATTTGTAAGTCTTCCTTGGGGAATCGTCTATTCAGCTCATTTGCCCATTTTTAAATTGGATTATTCGTTTTGTTTAATGGGTGACTGAGCTGCTGAGTTCCCTGTATATTCTGTTTATCAATCCCTTGTCTGAGGAATAATGTACAAATATTTTCTCCCATTCTGAGTGTTGTGTTTTCAGTCTTGTTGTTTCCTTTGATGTGAAAAAGCTTTTTAGCTTGATGTAATTCTACTTGTCTATCTTGGATTATTGTGTGTGCTTTGGGGAAATTATTTAAGAAATCTGTGGCTACTCCAGTATGTTCAAGAGTTTCCTCTTACTGTTCTACCACTATATTTATAGTTTCAGACTTTACATGTAAATCTTTGATCCATTTTGAGTTGATTTTGTTAATGGTGATAGATAGGGGTTCAGCTTCATTTTTCTGTAGGTGGGTATCCAGTTCTTCAGCCCCATTGGCTGACAAGACTTTTTTTTTTCCTCCACTGTCTTGGCACCCTTTGTCAAATATCAGTTGGCTATATGATTTGGGTATTATTTCTGAATTCTCTATTCCTTTCCATTGCTCAGTGTGTCTATTTTGTGCCATGCTGGTTTTGGTTTTTGTTTGTTTGTTTTTATTTTTTTAATTTAAATGTATTTATTTACATTCATTCACTGTACATCATTACAGCATACAAAATGAGATTTTCCATCCAGAGTACACTGTATATTGTCTCAATCAAGCACATCAACATACATGTTATCGTCAACAAATAATTTTCCATTTCTTGTTTCTTGTATGTTTTGCTTTTTTTTTTCCCCATCCTTGATTCCCTATCTCTTACCCTCTGTCTTCTCCCACTCTCCTCCCACACTGTCTCTGGTATCTATGTTTGCTTTCTATACTGTTTTTCCCCCACATTTTATTGAGTCACTAAAGATCTTAATCTATATATTTTCATAGCAAGCACAGCTGGTACATACATTTCCATGAACACAAGTCCAACTTTAGACATAAGCCTCAGTAAGTAGAATGAACATCCTATAAAGTAGCACCTAGCTGGGGCTATATATCTTTCTGCAGTCATCAAATAGGTATTTTTAATCCATTTTTTTCATTTCACAAAAAATAGTTTGTTTTCCTGAAGCTTTTTTTTAACTTAATTTACATTCATCCCCTAAGCATCGTCACAGCATACAAAATGTGATTTCCCATCCAGAATATACTGCATAGTGGCTTAATCATGCATGTTATTATAAAAAATTTTCCATTTCTCGTTTCTAGTATATTTTACTCCTCTTTCTGACCCTCTGTCCTTTCCCACCTTCTTCTCACACTATCTCTGGTGTCTACAGTTATCTTCCATTCCTTTCCCCCCCACATTGTATTGATCGTGTAATTTCTTAAATAATCTAACTACTTTCAATGGTAAGTTCACTTGGTATTATTAAGAAAACCAGTTTTAACTTAAAACAAAGAAATGCCGAGGAACTTTGCTTAAAGCCAGGAAACAAGTTAGGATTCTGTTCAAATGGTAGGCACATGAACCTATCAGTCTCATGTATGTTGTCTTCTGTTCTGGTTCAATTTTCCTGATTAAATTCTGGGCTGTGATATTCAACTCCAGACTTGTCCCTACGATTAAGTAGGCCACTCTCTTAGTTTTTGAACTCCTATTTCTGTGTGTCTGTATTTAATTTTCCTGATATAGCACTCCCTT